TCGCACACCATGCATTACCAACGGCGATTGGTGCACTTCAGACCGGACACGCCCAAGCGATCACCACGCGGCGAGCTGGGCAACCTTCCCCGGAACACAGCCAGCCGCGAGCCATCTTTCAGCTGGCCAGCTGCGTCGTCCGGATGCAGCTCTCCGATCTAGAGAGAGAGCTTTGATTGATGAAGAAAGCCGCGGCCCCCGCTCACGGACCCCTCGAGTGACGGAGCTCTCTCAGCAAGCAAGCGCAGAGCGGGACCTGCGGGGGGCGCGGCGCGCATGCTGGTGCGTGTGTCCTGCATCAACCAATTCCCAGCGAGCCGGGGTCCGCCTTGTCATTTTGGCCAAAGGGTTGTCCCGGTCGATCTTCCCTGGCTGGCTGGCTGGCATTCTTTGCGGCGCTGCGCTGCCCACCGAAAGCTGCTGCCAATAACTTCGCAGCCCGTCGTGTTTCTGCTGCTGCTCTGCTTGCCTGCTTTGCCTGCATGCATGCCTGGTGGCCGGCCGGCCGGCTGACACCATCTCCCTAGTTGCATGCGTACCTGCCGGCGTGCGGCGCTCTCTCGTCCAGGATGTTCCCGTGCCCTAGGCCGACTTTCGTTGCCCGTGCGTCAAACCACGATCAACCATGCTTACTTACCATGGTAAAGCCGAAGACGTGCAGGTGCCGAGTGATTGATGAGATGATTAGATGACCCCAAGCCAATCCGCCGAGTGTCGCACAAGGGACACGGTATCAGTGGACGAGAAGGAAAAAGCGCTCGCGACGATTCGCTGTACGGCGACCTACGTGTATGTGCCTGTGCCGCAATCTAAAACGACGCAGATGTGCCCACTTAATCCGAGGAGACGGGACCGAGAGCCACAAAAAATAGCGTGGTCGTGGAAGGAGAATTACAATATCAGATGAGCGGACCAGGGTCCCTGTGGGGAAGCAAAAGTGAGAAAGAAGGTTAAGGGAAGTTTGGTCCATGACGGCGGCGGACGGGCGGGCGGACGGACAGCGGCGGGCGGCTGCGCACCTGCGCAAGAAAAAAGCTTTGGTCGCCCACCGCGACGGCACCCCGAAATGCGCCGGCGTCGTGGACGGGCGCGAGAGTGGCCACCTCTTCTTCTCATCATCATCATCGTCATCTTCGAGGTTGCGGCGCAGCACGGCCGCCTGCCGCTGGTTGGTTGGTCCCTTATTCCCATCTATGTACTACTTACTCTGCCCCCCGGTCCGCCGTCAATGCTTCGATAGTCGCGCTTGTTCTAGACGCGCGCGCGCTTTATTACCTCCTCTTCTCCGCGGCGGGCCAAACGTGAGAGACCCGAAGGAATGAACGCATGGACGCTTTGGGACGATCGTACGGCAGAGGAATGCGGTTGATCGAGACGCTGGCGCCGCACTGCAGTATCAGCAGCCAACGCAGGGTACGAAGGATGCGGCACGGGAGGGGAAGGGGCCCAGCAACGGCCTGTGATTGATCAATGAATGAGATGCAAGAAACCAGGGAAATGGCTGGAACAAAGATGCCAAGTGGGGCACGTTTTGGAGAGACTGCCTGATTTGATAATGCAGGAAGGGGGGAAAGACGACGATCGTCGACACGACAACTCGTGTGAGGAGAGAATGCGAGATACGTCGTCGTAGTCGTCGTCCGCCATGGGTCCGTCGTCTAGCGCAGCGCCCGCCCCATCAACGCTTATGCACGCTTGATGCCGCTCTCCCTCGCCCGCGCGTCTGTGGACCCGGAGCGCAACAGCCAGCCGGAAGGACGGGCTGATCGAGAAAGTCCAGGCAGCAACAAATGACGGCTGCTGTGATAGCCGCCCAACGACCAGTGAATGTGGACTCGGCCGGCCCGGCGCGGCCTGTGTTCAGCTGCTCTTCCGGCTGATGATCCCCTTAGCGTGCGCATCAACTCGTTATGCCCATACACAAAAACCCTCTCCGGACTCCGTAGCCCTCCGACGTCTCCATCTTCCAGGCCGCCAATCGCTCCCCCAATCAAGACAGTCGACGGCCGCTCCGGGCGAGGCGATCAACCTCGCACCACCAATTCCCCCCTGGCAGCAAGCCACAGCTCCCCACCAGCGCAACAGACACGAAGCCGCCCCCCTCTTTTGCATCCTGCTTCATCTAGCACAGTAGGATCCCGGATCTAAGAGAACAGTCTCGCCCGCGAACGAGGCGAAATGCAGGGCAGAAGGAAAAGAAAAATCCTCCGATGATACGACCAAGCATTTGCGTTGACCAACAAGAATATACAAGATTCCCCGTGCTTGCGTGCCAGCATGCAGGAATAGATGAAACGCACAGACTGCCCAGTCGCGGGCATAATTGCCATCGACCGTTGCGTTGGGGGGGAGAGGAGGGAGGGGGTGTTGGTGAAATTGCAGCGAGGCAGCGCCGCCGTTCCGAGGCCGATCCCTTTTTAGGAGCGGATGTGAATTTGCATCCGCATCACGGGCAACACAGAGAAGGAGGAGTATACGACGGCAGATCCGCCGCATCGTCCATCGAACCGAATGGCCATCGTCGTCATCGCTATCATGCTGGCTGCGGCTCCGGTTGTGATGCTGGGTTCTCTGCCTTGCTCTTCCCACGCGCCCCCCTTCTCTCGTGTCGTCCTTTCGGCGCTTCTTCTGCGCTTTTTATGCGTGTCTGTCTTGCCGTCTCCGTTGCCCACATCCCACTCACGCCCCCGTACTCGCCTTCGCGATGCCCAATCTTTCTCCGCGGCGCCGGGCCCCCCCGTAGCGACGGAACAGAAGCCGCACCACTCCACTAAAATGACAATCGTCAATCGTCGTCATAGTGCAATGCGTAACAAGATCCGGCACAATGGGTACAATATAAAAATTATTAATAACACCGGGATCCACGTCTGTTCCCCCTTAACAGAACACGACAGAGTAGCAGCAGCATACGAAGCAAAGCAGCAAAAGACGGGACGGAGAATTCCACGATGCGATCATCATCATCATCATCATTACCAAGCCGTTCCGTAACCAACACGAACAACACCACACGTCAATCCATTCCCACCCGTGCTCCATTTTAGCTTAGACATTGGCGCGGTCCTTCCCGGCCGCCCCCATGATTCGCACGTGGCAGCGGATGGAAGGGGGGGAAAAGACATGTGGTGGTAATAGTGAGACATGCCAAGCATCGCTAGCTAGCCACGCGGCGCGGGTTAGTGCTGTGGGTGGGTTTGTGTATGTAGCCGTTCCTACAGACGGCATAGCCAGAACGAACGACCCGCTCGAAGATGTTCTTTCTCACTGCTTCTCGTCGTTGTGCAAAATGTAGATACGACGACGCATTGCCAAGTGCTTGTCCACTGGCATTATCTCAAACGCCCCCGGCTAAAACAGCCCAAAAAGCAAAAGCCTCAGTGCAGCCCAAACCCCCACCGTGCCACAGGTGAGTGGGCGGTTCGTCACACACCCACACCCGCACCCGCACTTCCGTGGCTAGCTAGCTAGCTAGCTGGGCCTGGCACGGCTGGCTGGCTGATCTAGCTAGGGAAGCTCAGCTGCGCGCGCGCACGATCCTTGCGGCGGCGCAACAAAAAACGCAAGCAAGCAAGCAAGCAAGCAAGAGCAGCCACCACGCACACGCACACACAACGCAAGATCGTCCGCCAAGATGGCGGGGGTGTGTGTGTGTGTCCGGGGGGTGTGGTACGCAGGTGTTCCTTCCTTCCTGCCCTCCAACAGATTATAGTTTGCCTCGGATAACTTGCTTGCTCTCTCTCCACGGCTTGCCTCCTATTGTATTTCCCGAAGAGACGTTGTTGCCCTTGCTAGTTTTCCCGGTCCGGGCTGGACAAGAGAGAGGAATGATCAATGATGCTTGCTTGCTTCTCACATGGTCCATTCGCCGGGCTGCTGCCCGGCCCGGGGATTGATTGCTTCATCATGCGCTCCTTCGCGGATGGTTATGCTCGCTGGTTTTACTGTGGGGGAAATTATAGATGATTTGCGTTGCCGCGGAGTCCTGTATACATACTACAAAAAGAATACAGAAGGAAAAAATAGGAACAGGTTGCTTTGCCGTGTGGAAAGGAGACGAAGGCCGTTTTCTCTTTGCTCGGTGCGTCCAGCGCATCGGAAACAAGGAGTAGAACCCAGTAAGGAAAAAAAGACCACCGTATGCTGCAAGAGGGAGCAGAACAAATGTGAAGCGCGGGAAAGACAATAGCCGCCCAGGGTTTGATTAGAGGACAGGTACGAAATGGGTTTTCTTTCTTCTCTTCTTCAACACATTTCATCCACTGCTGCTAACCCCCCAAAGTAAACCGAACAGAGTCAAAGCCGCCCATTGGATCCTTTCCTCCCAAGCTACCCCTGATACTTGTCGAGGTAATGTAATATTTTGCCGACTCCGCCCAAATGCAAAAGGAGAAGACCCAAGTTGTGCTTGTTTGGCCGTTTTCGCAGCAAATGCGAAGGAAAACCGACCAAAAGAACCGGAACCACCCAATCGCACTTTGCCAAACCCAATAAACCTTTCCGTGTGCTTGAAGGAAAACCTCCCAATGTGTGTGCGCGGAAGGGAACAGATGAAAAAACTCTCCCCAAACTATCTTCATCCCTACCCGACGATGGTATCCAATAGTTCCCAAATCAAAACAACAAAACCCGCCCGCATGCACCCGCACCGGCGAAACTCTCGGTGGTATAGAACGCCAGGATTCACCCTCCCACCCCCTCATTTGTAATAGAAAGTGACAATAACCCAGCATAATAAATGACCCAAATACACCCTGCACGCGCGCGCCCGTAACCGAACCGATGAACTGATAACCACGTGATGTGCGTGTGTGTGTGCGGAAAGAACAAAGAGGCCCTAGGAAAAAACCGCTAATTTGCGAAGAATGACGATGGATGATGCTGATGAACCGGAGGCAAGGGTCACGATAGGAATGTAAACCGAAACCCCCCGGTCTCCCGGGGTTCCCGCGGCCGGCATAACAACCGAGAGTGAGGCGGATGGGAAAGAGTGGTGTGGATCAAGTGATCAGGAAGTCCCATCCCTTGTTGACGATGATGGTCTCCCAGTCCCACGACTCCTCGTTGCCCGAGTCCATCATGTCCCACACCGTGTGCACCACTTCCCGCGCGTACGGGATGTTGCCCAGGTTGGAGTAGGCCTGCAGCTGGTCGAGGCCCTCGCTGATGGGCTTGCGCTGGGCCGGCTCAAAGGCCGCGCAGCCTAGCAGGAATAGCGGCATGAGCAGGACGCTCTGCGTGTTTGATGTTGGCGGCAGCTTCGATAGGTACTCGAGCCCGCGGTCTACGGCCTCGTGCAGCGCCGGGTCGGGCCGCGAGGGCTTGATGGTGCGGTGCAGGTAGATCCAGGTGCAGGCTTGGTACAGCATCGACGTGTAGTAGCGGTACTCGTCCTCCTGCTGGCACTTCCACTCGCGGAGTTCCTGGTCAATGGCGACGGCGTCGTTGAGGATCTCGTAATCGACCGGCGGGTTGACGCCTTGCACTTTCTTGGCGCGGATCTTGTCGCGCAATTTCCTGATGTTAGAGATGATGCGGAACAGGCCGTCCACAACACCGAGAAGTGTTGCTGCCTCCGGTTGAATCATGTACTCTGGCAGGTGGAAGTCGTCCATCATGAGAATGCTTCTCCGGTCGGTCGCGGTTACGGAATTAGCTACGTCGTGGTAAACGAAAAACTCGACCAGGAAAGCTTGGAATTCTTTGTTGGGCGATTCTTGGTTCTGAATCAGATGTCTCGCGGCATCCATGTGGGCGCGATAGGAACCATCGGTCTCTCCGGCGGTAACGGACTTGAGACACAGGATGAGGGTCTGTGCGACCGTCGGGTCGTCGATAACGGCGGTTTCATCACCGGAAAATCGCCGTTGCATATTCTCGTCTGTTCGGAGATTCCGAATGGCATTATCGAAATGATAAGCCTGCCTGTGCTCGTACTCGGGTTTTTTCTCCCGTAATAAAACATGCGAGCCGGCAAGACAGAGTAGCGAGTGCATCAAGCCTCGATGCCTGATGGCCATGGGGATCAAGATCTTGGTGAAGGGGTTGCCTCCAACGTCGTCGAACAGACTGAGCACCCGGCTGACGTTGAAGTGGAAGTGGTCCAAGAACTTCCGGTCAATGTCGGTCTCAATTCCGTCGATGAGCACGGGCAAGCTCATGGACACGGAGCTATGTCTGCGGGTAACTGTCGCAGATCATCAGCAGGCGGCATGCACAACGGTGACGCGTATACTATACCTATCGACCTCTGCCTTCCGCTCTTCCAGAACTCCTTGGGCGGGTAGCCCTCGCAGTGGACGTTGTTCTTCTGGCAATGCAGGCCTGTGTTCAGATTAGAACATGGTCCGTGCGACAGCTATCAGGTGGGATCCTTACATGCTGGCTTGGTCTCGTCACACTTCTTCTTCCTGCGCCTGCACGTTATACAGCCCGTTTTCGAGCGGCCCTTGGGCGGCTTGGTGACGGAGGCAGGCTGTGCGATGGGGTGCTTCCGCGGCCTGCCTCGGGGCCGTTTCACGACGGCGCGGTCCGGAGAGGGCACGGATTCAGCGAGGGGCGAGATCTTGGACGTGTCGTCGTCGTCGTCGAGCTCCTCGATCTTGGGGACGATGCCGTCGATTGAGTTGGGGTCCGGGAGGTACTGGAAGTCTATCACGCTGGGGGTGGTCCGCGGGGATTCACTTGACGAGGGCGAGGCCTGACTGGAGGAGGAGGAGCTGATGCTGAAGCGGGCGCCGTAGGGCGGCTGGGGGCCAAACATTTCGGAAGCCATGTTCAGTCGAGGAATTGGAGGCGGGCGGGGCGGGCGTTCGCATGAGATATGGGAGCGGATGGGCGAGCTCCCCGGGGTGAGCAGGCGCGTCACCTGGAGCTTGTTGGAGCTTCGTGGGGCGCGCTCGACGGCGTGCACCGGATTATGTAGAGGTGAAGGAGTGTGAAGGCTGACTGAGCGTGAGCGAGGTGTGAGGGCGCGAGTCGGCAGGCTGCTTACCGCGAGCGGATCAGCGGCCAGTGATAAATGGGCTGGCGAAACAGAGGCGGGGGGCGGTGTTTGGCGGGCAGGGAGCCGTGGGATGGAAGCGGCTAGGCTGGCCGGGAGAGCAATCTGGTCTGCTGGCTGGTGGCGCGGTGTGGGGTCGCGGGTATAAGAGGGCATGGTGCTGCTGGCATCGCCAATCTTTGCGATCTCAGGGCAGCGCTCAGGGAGCCTGTCAAGCCCAACGCGCCGGACGGTGGGTGCGGGTGGAGGCGACCGGGGGCGACGCGGTGGTTGATGCAGCGGGCAGCGAGAGGCGCGCCGTCGAAAAGGGCCGATCCTCGCTGCGGCACATTGACTCTGCCTAACGTCGCGTACCCGCCTGCATCCCGGCCAACTTTCCGCCGCGCGCCGATCAGAGGCCACAGGATTGCTCAGCGCGCCACGCACATCCATGTCCGGCGACCGCCGTCAGGGCCACGATGAGTCCCTTGACCGCGCCGGCCACCACATCCGCCGCCGCGACGCAGCCGTGGCCCGCCCTTAAGCGCTCTCGCAACGTCGCTGGCAGATCCTGGGGATCATGGGGAGCGCACAGGGCCGGCACTCCCCGCGAGAGATCGTGTGTAACCTCGTCGCCAATCACCAGCCTCTTTGCGCCGCTGCTTACCGCAAACTGCAGCCCTAAATCCACCAGTGTGGGGGGCTGAGCGAATGCTGTACATGAACCCGATCGCCCAAGGGCGCCGGCTATCTTTGGCGTGTTGGCGTGTGATGGGATTGTGAAAGCGCAGTCGGCTGACACGCGGCCGGACCGAGCATGAGTATTTAGTGCGAGCGTAGTCCATTGACGCCCGGCTTCAACCGGCCTGGACTGTTCCAACCTACAGCCAAAACAGGCTCCAGGGCCATCCTCGACCCGTCCGCTTGTGGCGAGAATTGTCAGACACATATCACATGCCTAGAGTACTTGCCCACCACTTCGCTCTGCTCTCCCGTGCTGCTCCGGCTGAGAGATTGCTGAGTGTAGTGCGCCAGCTTGAAACAGAGCCCGGCCTGGCCGGTGCATTGGTGGTGCGCCCCTTCCAAATTGTCGTGATCTTGCAGCAGGTGAAGACCGATAAGGCAAACCCGCTGCATCCGCACGTGGGCGCTCTCGAGTCGAGCTTCGTGCGAATGTACGATTATGACTTCAGGGTGCAGATGGCCGCGGTGCGCTGGCCGGGGTCCACATCATCGGAACATGCTCCGCTCCAACATCCTCTCTGCGCCCGCCCTCTGTCAAAGCGCCTGGCCGGTGGTACGACTTGGAGAGGATGTGACCAGCCGAAGACTCCTTGCAGTTTCCAGGTTCAAGCGAAAGGTTGCACAAAAACGGCCCTGCCCTGGGCTGACTGAGGCAAGCCACATTGCGCACGCCGCTCGGTCGGCCTACCGAACACCGTAGACGCTCCCACAGGCTTGGCAGGGCCAACGTGCGGAGTGTTTCGAGTCCACGATTGACTTGCCGTGCAGCATACATGAACGCCGGCCTTGGGGGGTGCCAGCGCCCGGACCCGTCCATTCTTGGGGCCCCAGACATGTCTTCTGCAGGGATGGATCGAAATGGTTGAGCTCAGCCGGTGACGGGATATGACCTGTAGCATATCGGCTTAAGAGCATCCACAGGCAGCGTGGCCGGTGAGGGATTGGCACGGATCGCGGCATGGTTGACCGTGGTAGAATCTGGCTGACAGTAGCACAGTGGAGATCCCCGTACCCCGAGTGTGATTGAGGCTTAGCCACTGCGTCCACAGCTATGTACGTGGACGGAGTTGTAAAGACGGGCGAGGTGAGCCAGCACGTACCACAACGCCATCTCATTCGGTGATAGACCCAGGAGTACGAGGCACAAGGCTCGCGATCGCATGCAGCATCGGCAATGGCTGAAGGAGGCTTCTGTTGCTGTGCTGGCTGTACCACGCCAAACAGGCGGGTCTGGAACTAGCCCCTGTGCGCGGTGCCGGAAAGCGTAAACGGGTCGCGTCAGGCCGTCTCGAATGCAGCAATCACCAAGTTTGAGCAGGCGAGAGGGGGCCAAGTGGCGTAGGTGCTGACGGTCGGATATTGCTGGGCTAGGTGTTCCTTGGGAACTCCTCCAGGAACACGGTGAGCGGCACATTGCCCCGTACCAGGCTGAGGGCCGAGACACATATTGCGGGCAGGCTTTAGCAGCCACAACGAAGCTTGACACCGACAGAGAGAGACACGACGATCTCACCAGGGGCCGCTTATCTGGCGGAACCCAGGCTGTGGACAGCCCATGTCAGAATTCATGAATTTTCATATCCGGATGTCAGCCCCGGGATGATCGACATGGCCAGAAGCCGGAGATAAGTAGCAGTAGACAACGTCCTGGTGAAGCGGGGTGGCCGGTTACTCTGGGTGAAACTGAGATAGAGTGCATGGCGCGTACGAGTTCAATTGGCTTTCCAGGAAGGACCCGAGTGACAGTGAGACGGCCAGCGAGGGGAGAAGAGGTTGAAATAGAGGATGGTCAAAGAATGACATCGCACCCAGACTTTGAAGACGGGCTAGTCCCAGAGGGGAGGTGCAGGCGAGGCGTGTTTGTCTGGTTTGCCTGCGCACGGACCCACGCGAAACGCGGTCTCCGGCGACCGACGTGCAGCTGCGACACCAAAGCCAGTGTTGCCGTCACCATCAGCACGCGCGCGCCGCGGCCTCCAGCACCCTGTAGCAGTAGCCTTGCCACCAACCCCTCCATCATCGCTGTCGCCCAACTTGCTATGCCCGTTGCATGATAGTTTGAATCCGCGTGCCCGCGCACACCCCGCGCCGTAGCCATGTTCAACTTCACTCCCCTTCTGGGCGCGCAGTCGACCTCAGCCGCATCGCAGTCCCTGCTCGAGCTCGATGGAGGCATCAAAATCCTCGTTGACGTCGGCTGGGATGAGGGTTTCAATGCCGAAAAACTCAAAGAGCTTGAGAGGTACGGACGCGCCGCTGCTGGCATCTTGAAGCTTCCTAACCCCGTGCTAACCCGTCGCTGTATAGGCAAATCCCCACACTTTCGGTGATTCTGCTCACGCACGCAACGGCCGCCCATCTTGGTGCATTCGCTCATTGCTGCAAACACTTCCCGCTGTTCACTCGAATCCCCGTCTACGCCACCACCCCCGTCATATCTCTCGGCCGGACGCTCCTCCAGGACCTCTACTCGTCGACCCCTCTCGCATCTTCCATCATCCCAGAAGCTGCGCTATCGGACTCGGCTTATTCCTTCCCCGCCCTTCAAGGAGGCAACCACCCCAACATTCTCCTCCAGCCTCCTACCTCCGAAGAGATCGCACACTACTTCTCGCTCATCAACCCGCTCAAATACTCTCAGCCACACCAGCCGCTACCTTCGCCCTTCTCTCCGCCCCTCAATGGACTCACTATCACCGCCTACAGCGCTGGACATACCTTGGGCGGGACAATATGGCATATTCAGCATGGCATGGAGTCGGTTGTGTACGCGGTGGATTGGAACCAAGCTAGGGAGCATGTTCTTTCCGGTGCTGCATGGTTGGGAGGGTCGGGCGCTGGTGGCGCCGAGGTCATCGAGCAGTTGCGCCGGCCGACGGCCATGATCTGTAGCAGCAGAGGTGCGGAGCGCATCGCTTTGGCCGGTGGCCGACAGAAGCGAGACGAGCTGCTGCTCAACATGATCAAGGAAACCGTATCCAATGGCGGTTCCGTCCTGATTCCCTCGGATTCAAGTGCCCGCATCTTGGAGTTGGCCTATCTGTTGGAGAGCACCTGGTCCACCGAGCCCCATTCACTTGGAAATACCCCTCTTTTTCTTGCCAGCCGCACGTGCGGAGCAACAATGCGGTACGCGCGTAGTATGCTGGAGTGGATGGATGAAGGCATTGTGCGGGAGTTTGAGGTGGCAAGCAGCGGTCAGGGCGGGGAAGATGTTAAACGCACGAGAAGCCAACAAGGATCAGGCAGGTCGAAGGATGGCAAGGACGATGCGAAAAAGCCCAATGCGCCTTTCGACTTCAAAAATGTGAAGTTGGTTGAACGCAAAACCCAGGTCAATCGCATGCTTTCCACCGAAGGTCCCAAAGTCATCTTGGCAAGCGATGTCTCGTTGGAATGGGGCTTTTCCAAGGAAGCCTTGCGCAATCTCGCTGCGGACGTCCGGAACCTTGTCGTCTTGACGGAACGGGTGGCGCAACCTTCGGATTCTAAGAAAGGATTGGGAAGATTGCTTTGGGAGCTTTGGGCTGAACGGAGCGGCGCTACGAAATCCGCAGAGGCTGATGAGAGTGCTGCTGTACAGCAAGCTGGCGGTGCTGAAGCGACTGTGGAGGTGGCTCAGGCAACACCGCTCGAGGGCAACGAGGTTCCGTTGTACCAGCATTACCTCGCACAGCAGCGCCAGTTGCATAACACGCTCCAAACTGACGGCGCAACTTCCCTGGAGACCGCAGCAGATGTTATCGATGACCGCTCATCAACTAGCTCGGAATCATCGGAAGAATCGGATACGGAGCACCAAGGCAAGTCGTTGAACATTTCGGCCGCCATGACGCACGCTCGACAAAAACTGGGACTTAGCGATGCCGAACTGGGCATCAACATTCTGCTGCGCCGCAAGAACGTCCACGACTACGATACCCGAGGCAAGAAGGGCAGGGAAAAGATGTTCCCCTACGTCGCCAAGAGAAGACGTGGAGACGAATTCGGAGACCTCATCCGGCCCGAGGAATACCTTCGTGCCGAGGAGCGCGACGAGGTGGACGGTCAGGACATGCGCAATGGCACACAGCAAAAAGATTCGGGCGTTGGCCAGAAGCGCAAGTGGGACGAACAGACAGGGAAGCCTGGTGCGGGCAAACGACAGGCGACGAACGGCACGACAAAACGCCGCAGACAACAGGAAGGCTCGGTGCAGGGCAGTGTCACCAACGATGACCAGGCTGAGAACGACGATTCCGGAGAGTCCGAAGATGAGGCTCCTGAGGAGGAGGTTGCCGGCCCATCCAAGATTATCTTCACGCAGGAGACTGTGCGACTCCAGTGCCGGATTGCTTTTGTTGACTTTTCGGGTCTGCACGATAAAAGAAGTCTACAGCTGCTGATACCCATGATCCGTCCGCGCAAGCTCATTCTTGTCGCTGGCGAGCAAGAGGAAACGTTGGCACTGGCAGCAGATTGCCGCAAGCTGATCGAAGCTGCATCCGCTGGCTCAACAGAGAGCGCGATCGACGTCTTCACACCAACAGTCGGCATCACCGTCGATGCAAGTGTGGACACGAATGCCTGGACCGTCAAGCTCAGTCAAAACATCGTTCGTCGTCTGCGTTGGCAGAACGTCAAGGGTCTTGGTGTCGTGGCGATCACCGGCCGTTTGGAAGCACACCTCCCCGACGAGGACGACTCTGCGACGGAGAACGGCGGCGTCAAGAAGAAGGTCAAGGGCGCCAAGGGCGGTGCTCAAGAAGCAGCAGACAAGAATGGAAGCAACGGGGAGGTCAACGTCACACCTGTTCTCGATATCGTGCCTGCCAGCATGGCTGCTGCCACGCGCTCTGTCGCCCAGCCTTTGCACGTTGGCGACCTGAGGCTCGCAGACCTACGGAAGATCATGCAATCGTCGGGCTTTGCCGCAGAGTTCCGCGGTGAGGGTACGCTGCTCATCAACGGGTCAGTGGTCGTCAGGAAAAGCGGGACTGGGAGGATCGAGGTGGAGAGCAGCGGGTTCGGGCTCATGGGGCCAGGGCGGCCTGATGGTACATTCTACGCCGTTAAGAGGAAGATTTATGAGGGCTTGGCGGTGGTTGCTGGTGGGTAAGGTGACGCTGGAATGAATGGACTTTTTGGGCAAGTGATCAGGTGCTCTATATTCGTCAATGTCATTAACTCATGAAGTTTCAAGATATCCAATATCTTCTTCCATGCTGTCATTCTTTTTCGTTGTGTATGCTGACCTGGGTTGCCTTGGAGAATCATCGTGTTTGCACATGTGTTACATTCACGCGGATTATCTCAAGAACTCACATGTGGCCCCATGCTCCCCGTGGTTCGTGTTCTTTTGACTTTGTTTTCTCTTGATAGTTTTGCCGTACCATCAGAAGACAGTCCTCACGCAAACGCTATGTTTCGCTGGCACCCGATTTCCCAACCCCCTACCTTTGCATGTTCCCGGCCAACAAACAAGAGAAAACTGATAATGACCTGCCAGCAAAGCAAAACAACATGGCCGCCAACAGAGAGCAAATTCTGTTCTCCCGTGATAAGTGCTGTCCTTCCGCACCAGATCACAGATGCTCATAACAATGGAACAACACAGTACAGGTTGTCACTACTGTCCCACGAGTTTGTACTTCAGTCTCCTGCTCACAGCAGACCCCGACCAGGACAGCATAAAACAGCAGACCTCCTTGCAAACACTGACATTTCTTCTTCATCCTCTTTGACCACTGCTCCCTCAGGCCAACCGAAGCTGAAGGCAAGCCACGATTTCTCCAAGGACACTTTGAGGTTTCGACAAAGTTATTCTTCAGAGGAAGGCCGGATTCTTGTCAGTTTCCCCCCTTTTTTTCTGGGCAGCTCCGGACTCTGCCAAACAAAACATCGACCATGGCCTGGTTCCCTCCCCATGGCTGGCGCACCGCCTACGGCGGCTACCAGCCCCCTGACGACCTCTACCTGGACCCTATGCTCGGCGGCGTCCCCGGCTTCCTCGACGGCCCCGCCATGTTCCCACCTCCCTTCATGGGCGGCGGCGGCGGAGGCCCACCTCCTCCCCCTTTCATGGGCGGCGGCCCTCCACCCCCTCCCGGCCATGACGACGGTGGCATGGGCCCTCCTCCTCCCGGCTTCTTCGGCGGTGGCCCACCACCAGGCGGCCCTCCTCCTCCGCCCTTCGGTGGCGGCTTCATGGCCCCGTGGATGGAGCCGGACTTCAGTGCCGGACCGTTCCCCGGCGGCCGTCACCATGGCGGCGGCGGCGGCGGCGGTGGTGGTCACCCTAGATGGCACTGGGGCGAAGACGACGACGGCGAGGACGACGCGGCAAAGCCGAAGATCATACCGGGCGGGCGGGCCGGGGGCGGACCGCGGCGGCGCGGCGTGGGCATGATCTACAACCCGAAGCAGACGCGGCTGCACATCTTCCGCAAGACGGACATGGAGCCGTGGAAGGACGGCGCGAAGAAGGGCGTTGTGGTGCCGGCCAAGAAGATGGGCGGCTTCAACATCTGGGAGGCCGACGTCAACTGGACCGTCAAGCAGCTGATGGACCACCTGGGCAAGGGCGACGACGCGTGGGCCGTCACCGAGGTCACCGAGGCGGGCAATGGGCGGTGGTACAAGGGGAGCACCATCAAGTACAAGGACGAGCGCGCGGACGAGACGTTGAGTAAGCAGGGGTGGACCGAGAAGAGGGGCATGGCTTATGGTCAGACGCCCGTTTGGTTGGTCTTGCATAAGGCTGAGTGAGCGGTGGGTGGGCTGATGGGGTGATGTGCTGAGCTTTGGCGAAATGTCTTTTTTTGAGTCATAAATTGTCGGTGTGTATGGAGGGTCTTTGAATTTGAGAAAGAGATCCTTGGGAGGTGTTTGCACAATTCCAGATTTTTTTTTTCTGGTAGTTCTACAAAATTCAAAGCAATGTGAAAAGGTACCCGAGATCTTGACCAACTAATCTTGGTTCTGACTTCCAAGTATCAGAGCATCTAGCAGAACCTCAGCCTATCACGGCCATTCATGTAGAAGGCTTCTATGAGCGTGTTTGCAATGTCGGCTCCAGTCGCGGTCACACAGCGTCAGTGACATGTTGCCTCGCCTGCCCAGGTGTTACACGGTCAAGGATGAGGGAGCCATGCTGCATAGCTCATGGCCTGCGCATATGCGGAAAAACTAGCTTGCAGCTGAAGAACCGGCTGGCTGCGCCGACAGAGGGTACCTGCATAAGCTTACAGGTCTGGAAAGCTACTGCTGTGCCGCCGGGCCCCGCCGCCCGTGCCCATATGTGCCGCAGCATATCAACAGCTACGAACAAGAGCCCAAGAGCGCCGGGTGAGGCTACGTTCGACCGTAGCGCCCCGCGTCCGATGCCAATGACGTAGTGCTTGCTTTTTTGGGTTGACCAAAAGGGCAGGCGGTCCGTGCAAATTTTATTTCCGGCCAATCAGAGCCCCCAGCGGCGGCGGGCAGGCGGTTTATCTACGGGCCGCGCTCGCTTAAATGATCTGAGCGCCCGCCGCCGAGCATAAGGACCCTTCTCTTCGTCCGTCCTCCAGTTCTTCTTCCTTTCCTTCTACACCACATTCCTTCGTTCTTTGCTAGCGTCTGGCGACCCAACACTCTTTGGTCCTCCGACGCCCTCTCCACGTGGTCCACACTTCTTCTCTCTCTTGCTCACGCACTCACTGCTTCGAATCCACACTCCTTTCTCAAGCCAGCCACCATGCTGCTTCACGCTTGGCTCACCTTCGCGGCGATGATCCTGCCGGCGCTTGCGCTCGCCTTGGGGTACGTGTCATCCTGCCCTATAGATCTCACATTGTCTACTGGTCTCAATCTTTGTTCTACTTGATTACCTTCGACACCCATTTCGTTTTGAGATCTTCCATCCGAATATATCTTTCCTCCGATCCTCCCCATTGTCATGTCAACACTTATCATTCTATTTTAGGAGTGTCATCCCCAACTACACCACCACGGTTGAAAAGTTCATCAGCGTTCCTGGTTGGACGACCACTGTTACTGTTGCTGGCGACTGCACGCACCCGGCCTCTTCTTCCACGGCTTCTGCCCCGCACGGCCTCCCCTGCCTTCCCAATGGACCGCTCTACAAGGTCGTCAAAGGCACCTCGACCATGTGGCCCTGTGGAACTCCCAGCCCGAACGACTCGATCACAATAATACCCGGGGTGTCAACTTTTACCGTTGTCCCCGAGAGCACGACCGAAGTCTTCGTCACCGCGACGGAGTTCGTTACCGTTCCCGAGTCTGAGTCCACGATGACCTCGACTATCTGGGTCACCAAGACTAAAGAGCCGACGACAGCTCTCACGTCTACAAGCTTCTCAACCGTGGCTTCCGGCACCTCGACCATTTCCCATGGCTCCCCCGCAATGAGTGCCTCTCCTCACTCTCATACCGTCTCCGGGGTTTCCCTCGCAATGAGTGCCGTTCCTCACTTTCCTACCTTCTCCAGGGCTAGCAAGCACCCGCCGTCGTTCACCCCGCACACCCCTCATGGTTCGACTCATAGTTGGAACTTCTCCATGGTAACCACGCGTACCCAACGCTCTGGCCACAGGGGTGGTGTAACGGTTCTTCACTCTCACACTGCCGAAGCACTGACAACTCGCACCGTCAATGTCACGACCACCACGAGCACTACTTGGGCGGGTGTGTCCACAGTGACGTCGACGATTACCGCAGTGGCCAACAACACCACCAGGCTGCCTTCCATCATGTCAACTCCATATGGACACAGTAGCCTGACCGCTTCCTCTACGCTTCCTACGCCCTCAGCCTGCCGTGAGGATGGTCACTGGGGAAATATCACGTTTCATGTCAGTGTCTGCCCTTAACCGTCGCTTTTGATGTGCACTTACTACACACAGTTTGACGGGCCCCATGCATTCGATACTGGCGCGTCGGACTCACTTGCTCGTATTCAAAGCCCGAACCTTCGCTTCAATGCCGGGTATGTATACGCCCCGGCGAGCGTCCTTGATCAAATCGAGCCGGCTTCGCCACCGCACCTGGCAATGTACCAGCCCAACGTGACAGCTGCGCACCTGTCAGTGGAAAATGCGCTGCGAAAGGGTGGAATCGGCGGGATCAAAAGCTCTGCCTTCAATTTCAACGCGCATGGCGGATACTTCTCCTGCTTGAAGGGTCCTATTTCCCTAACGAACGGCCCTGATCCCCTCAACTACACACTCGAGGTTTCTGGCTTCCGCTGGGACCGTGATGCAAAGCAGGAAAATCTTCATGCCATCTCGACGTTCCACATGGCGCCTTGCTTGGAGACCAATGTCAATGCCAAGGGCAAGTGCGAAATGACTGAGATTGACTTCAGCAGCGAGGGAAGCGACTTTACCGGCCTGTCCTCGATCAGCATCAAGTCGTACTTCTGGGTCGACGTCAAGAAAGAGCAGGTGTTCTTCATGGACGACTTGAAGCTTAGTTGGACTGACAACAGCTGCGAGGCTGGAGCCGCTCGTGGCGGGGGCGTTTAAGCCATCTGGGTGAAGATGTTTTCTTTTCTTTTTCTTTGCTCAATCACACAAAAGTCGCACCCTTACAGGGCGTAGTTCATCGCGTACGTAGCTAGAGTTTGGTGCTCTTCATGAGCGACGGGCATAGGTAGCTGCACTCGGCTCACAATCAAGGGATCCCTGTCCATCAAGCCGACGTCGTTATGTGAAAACTATTGTGTGTTCGGTAGCCTTGTGGATTTGTCTCAGTATCGTGAGGTGTTGAAGTTGCGGTCCACCAGGCTGGTGTGGAAACCTTGGAGCACTAGGCCGTATATACACAAAGACCCCACAAATCTACCATGTGGCACATGACATTTTGACGGGATGCCCGACGATATGCAGGGCCGGTTAGGGGTTTAGTTCACCACTAGAAGCTATTCAGGAACACACGGATGCGGGTGGTCATGAGGACAGGCGTTCGATCGGGAGCCCTGTTTGTGAAGAACGGGCCGACAAAGGCTCGTCCATTCCAGGCAGCATGTGGTGAGGTGGCTGGGGTTTTGGTGTGCATGTACCGACGAAGGGATGTCATTGTCATCACCTGGTATTGGCAATATACGCAGGGCAGCGCAGCGGGAGGGGCGGGTGATTCGCGCGGCGCAAGTAAGGTTTGAAGGCACGCGGTCGTTCCCTGCCAGGGCCCGATCTCGATGCGGCTGGAGGCCAGGGCGGCGCCACAGCGCGAGCAAGGGACGGCACAGGCATCCTGGTCAGCGGGCGCATGACGAGGCCCACGAGCAGCGTGGGGGAGGCGCGCGACCTGGTGGGATTGTCGAGGGCGGTCGAGTGAGACAGAGGATGAGCTCATTGCGATGGAAGACGCGTGCGCGCCGGCTGTTGCGTGACTCGCGCGGCGCCGCCTCGTGACGGACGGACGGCACGCATATCTGGGCAGAGCACTGCTGCAGAATCGCCATCATTCGAGTGTGCATGGCGAGCGTGGAGAGCTCCGATTGTTGCCGGTCTTGGTCGCAGGGTAAGCGAGCATCGCGACGGCCATCGTCCCGCCGCCCAAGTCAAAGTCCCAGTCCCAGTCCCAAACCCAGTCTCCGTCCCGGTCCCAGCTCGACCGCCCGCAGCGCGCCCACCACGTCGCCCTCGACGGACTGAGCTGCAGCCTTGCCCACCGCCGCCGGGCCACGACACTCCGCCACCATGACCACCGAAAGCCAGCCGCAACCTGCTCCGCCGCAGGCCCTCTTCTCCCCGACTCCGCAAAGCCCAACCCACGATACCCCGCCGCCGCTCCCTAACCCCAGCATGCCCGCCTTCGCGCCCCAATTCCCGCCGCAGCCCGCAAACAACGGCCAGCGCGTCCAGAACCGCCACTCGCGCGACTTCAGCGGCTCGCAGACCAACGGCCAGGTCCAGAGCCCCAACGGCCAGCAGGGCGTCCCCATACAACACCGCATGGGCAACGGCCACCAGGGCCATGTGCGCGGCATGAGCGGTTTCGACGGGCCCCGCAGCCCGCCCAACAGCAAGAGTGAGCGCCTGCGGCACAAGAAGCACTCGCAGAAGACCACGACCGCTGATCCGACTGAGCTCAAAGGCACTGCACACGTCCCGTGCAAATTCTACCGCCAGGGCGTCTGCCAGGCTGGCAAGGCCTGCCCGTTCCTGCACACCAACGACCTGGCCACCGAGACGGCCCCGTGCAAGTACTTCCAGAAGGTCTGCCCACCTCCCTCGAGTCACCCGCCTCCGCCGTAAGCTAACGCGACCCCAGGGCAACTGCAAGTTCGGCGCAAAATGCGCTCTCGCCCACATCCTGCCCGACGGCAGGCGCGTCAACGGCCCGAACCTCGCAATGGGCAGGCATCCCTACGGCCGCCCGCCCACCACCCAGAGCTCGCTGCTCACCATGCAGGCCATGGCCGGCGGGTCGCAGTACCCCTACATGCCCTCCGACGAGCCCTATCAGTCCAAGCACCTCCACGACATGATACCCACCATCGACCAGACCTTCTCCTCGAACCCTGGTTCCAATTTCGGCTCACCGCCAAATGACAGCCGCCTCCCAACGTCGCCCGTGCAGAAGGGCCTGAGCGTCCTTGATGCCCCGCTCCCCGCTTCTTTTGACAGCCAGGGAATTTCGCACATGGCTCGCTACGGCCCCATCGCCGCGTCCGTCCCCTCGCGCTTCGGCCTCGAGGCCTCTTCCCCGCCATCGTCGTATCAGAACAAGGCCATCGAGACCTCTACACTGAGAAACTTGCACAGCTCTGCATTCGGGGATGACGCGTTTGCAAGGAATGGCCTGGGCTCATCCCCACCGGCAGCTGAAGAGCCGATGATGGGCAGGCGTATCATGCACTCGGAGCGTTTCGCGAGACCGAAGATGATGTCGGCAAGCTTGGGCACGCGACCAATTATTGGCGCAGATGAGTGGGACGAGAACTTTGCGTTCGAGGAGGATCTGGTTCCTAACAGCCTACACGAACTGCTGACTCCCCAGGAGAAGATGCGCCGCTTTTCCCGTGCTGGCGATGACGAGAGCGCATTCAATCACCGCCAGTCGCTTTCAGGTTTGGGCACCCCCGGCGATTCCAAGGTCGGCTCACCGCTCGGCTCCTCCCCTTCGCGCTTTGGCGCTCTTTTCTCCCGGACACACAAGCCCGCCGACGAGGTCTCATCAAGCCCTGGCGCCAATGTTTTCGGCCATGTTGGTTCCCCTCTCCGTGGCTCTGGCCTGAACCCGAATGCCAGCCCATCGCTCCGCCCCATTGGAGACCGCAGGACGCCTTCTACGGGTGATGCTAGCCCCTTCGGTCTTGCCAGCCCGCCACGTCAGAGCAGTATCAGCACGCTCAGCCAGCAGCTCCAGCGCACGCGCCTCTCGTCTCTTGTGTCGGAATCCAAGCCAGAAGGCCCGGAAGACAAGGGGCACCCTGGAATGCCTGGACGCTTGACTTCAGCCTCCAGCATTGGCTCCGCAGCCTCGAGGTCCGGAATCGGTATGGACCGTGCCATCTCCAGCAGCAGCATCGGCCGCGAGCCCATCGAAGAGGAGCAAGAGCAAGGTCTGTTCGACATGGAAGAAGAAGATTCTGGAGCCGACAAGGAAAAGAAGGCCAAGAGGCTGTCTAGTGGCCTTGGAACTACCTCCGCACCAGGAGGTGCTTGGGGTGTCTTTCCCGGACTTGGAGCAGGAGTTGGTAGCGAGAAGAGCTCGTAATTCCTACCAGACCGTTAGCTACCCATTTGGCGCTAAGAGTACGCCGGCTACTCTTAAGTTTACTCACGAGTTGATCTGGATATGACGTCGGGAACGAAGTATGACAAAGAAAAAAAGACTGGTCTGAAGTACGGACCCTGTACAACCACACGAAAAATACACACCAGCACTTCTGGATGCAGCATCATGTTCAAAACGGCGGGACACTAAAAACAAAAGCAAACTGGGGGACACATGGCGTCATTCAAATAGCGTTCCCTTTTTCTGGTCTACTTCCCCGTAGCGCGTAATGCTCTTGTCCTAGGCAAGAGAACGAGGTGTTCCGTGGAGAGGAGGCGAACGGGCTTGATAATTTTCTCTCCTATTGCTGGGGATTTTCTCTCTCATAGCACAAGGTTGGCATATTGATCTTCTTTTTTGCACGTCAGGCCAAAAGGCCTCCACAGACACTCGCTCACTCTACTACTCACGAAGAAACAAAAGTATTTCATGTTCTTGCTGTTGCTTTCCAATTTACTTTTCTCATTTCTCCCCTTTTTGGATTCGGCCTTTTTGTCTCCATACAAGGCACACTCTTTTCGCCAAAACCCCGTACAGAATGAGAATTACGAAACCAAAAGGAGTACAAAATGGTGGCAAATTTTTCTCCTCCTTTCCCCCTTTCTTGAATTCTGACATCGCGCAGGATCTCTTGTAATCATTTTTTTTTCTCTTATTCCAATTTTCGGTACATACGCTCTTCGACAAGGTTTGCACCACGTCTTACGCCGTTCTCTCTCCTTCTTTACCTTTCGACGAGAGAACCGGGGACAGGGCAGCGAATAACATCACTGACACTCCTTGTTCTTTTACTGGACGGGTTTGTGGCAGCATTGTTTCAGTTGTTGACCCTTGGCTCCGCTTCTGGATTACCTACGCTTGGAGCTTTTCTGGCTTTGGGTGGTCCCCTGAGGTGACGGGAAGGAAGAGGACAGCACGAATGGGAATGTCGATCTCGATCATCTCGGAACGGATTGGCCTTTCTATCCGTGGTCTTGCGAATGGTCGATTGTCGTTTTGTTCATATGAACTTTGTATTCTTTTTTCTTGGTGGGCTTTGCATATGGTGCGGGTCTCTTGCCAACCTTACTTTTTTTTTTTTTCGGAAGATGGCTCATGAGCTGTAGCATTTCGCTCCGTCTCGTTCTGGCATTTTCTTCTGTTCTGACGCTCGCTAAGCTTTGCATGAATTGATGACGTTGATGTCATTTTTTTCGGAGACGTAGACTTTGTAGCTGGGAGATGGTTTATTATTGGTTAGACTAATGTATTTTGTGTGCTTTTGTGGAGATGTTTCAGGGGTTTTGTGAGGTCGTGAGTGGTGCCACGTGCTGTGTGTTCCTGGGGGTGAGATTGAGGTGCTTGATTGGCAGTGGGGTCGCAGTGCTGATACTCGCGCGAAATCCATTCATTTCCCGGTATCAACATCTATATTGCATACTCTAAAGCTCCTAATGTTTCGCTACTCAGCGAATCAGTGCTGTGCTAGTTGACGGTGGCACCTGCAGATACTTCCATTGTGCTTTCGAAACCAACAGTTTCCGTGTCAGCATTATCTCCTCGAGTTTAGCGGCTCGCTGTCGTCCTTCCGGAAACGTGCAGATGATCCGTGATAGCTGGCGTACTCTAAACAGATGCACGGCAATATACTGGCAGAGGCCAAAGTGGCTGATTATCTGCATTCTCGTTGGAGACGTTACACGCCCATCAGATGACGTCAAGGTCGCTCAGCTAGCTCTTGGTGAGGACCTTTTCGGCGTGGGGCAGTACCTGCTGCAATTCGCTCGATAAGCATGTCAGCAAATTGATCCGAAGTACCATTTTGAGCCTGGAGAAAGTATAGAAATGGTGTAGGAATCTAGAAAAGAAGTCACACTAAATGATACGATGTCAGAAGATGCGGCTTAACATTGCTACTTTCAAGCAGCTGCTGGATTTCACCCCATAAAAGCCCTTGCTTTCCCGCCGCCGGGCCTCCCATACCGAGGGATCACGCAATATCCTTGCCAAGTATGGTAATCCCCGGCCTCCACTTCGCCCGGGTGGTTTCCCAGTAGGTGGGACGCTCCGCTCCGACCGGCCGCCGGGTGACGTGACGGCGGAGGATCGCTGCACTTAGTCAGCACCACAAACAGGCAACTGCGACCACGGTGCATCAACACCGCAACAAGAGCCGAGCCATGGCGGATGCAACGCCACCTACTGAGAAGCCCCGCCCATCGCCCGGCCGCCGTAGAGATAAGCCCCAGCTTTCGTGCACCTTGTGCCGACGGCGAAAGTAAGTCGCATTCTGTCTACGTCTGGCTTGACTAACCTCTGGCAGGCTCAAATGCGACCGCAACCGGCCATGCGGCACTTGCTCGAGTCGCGGATTGTCTTTGTCGTGTACTTATGTGCCGCAAAGCAGCCCTGTTCAAGGCCGCCGTGATTCCGCCGTTGCTCCCGGCATCCAGGCACGCATAACCCAGCTGGAGAATCTTGTTGTCACGTTGATGAACGCCGCCCCCACGCCGCCGAAAAGCCTCAGCCCTCTGGACACGGCCCTCTCCGACAGCTTTGGCCGAATCAGCCTGGAGAATGACGAGACCACGTACGTTAGCGGCGACCATTGGCTGGCCATTCTTGACGGCGTATGCAAACCCTGCGCCCTCCTCCAGCTCGCCAGACTGACCACCACAGCAGATTACGGAGTTGAAATATCACTTTGACCCTGAAACCAGCCCGCTCGAGGAAGAAGGGCCCAAGTTGCTCTATGGATCTAACGACCACGCTACAAGAGAGTCTATCCTGGCTTCTCTGCCGCAAAGACCGGCGGCCGACAGACTGGTTTCCAAGTACTTCAACGCCATGGACATGGCCGCTGCAGTCATCCATGGACCTACCTTCCTCAGGGACTATGAGAAATTTTGGTCTAACCCTGCCGAGACCCCCATCATGTGGATTGGCCTTCTTTTCGCCATCATGGGCGTTGGTGCCCTTATTCAACAGCGCCAGTCGCAGTCGGCTGCCAACCGGCAAATGGTTGAGGTGTATAAAGAAATGACCGTCCAGTGTCTGATTCTCGGCAAATACACAAAAGGCGTGCCGCATACGATCGAGACTATACTGTTATATTTTTCACTAGAGCACCTCGTAGCCGCAGACACACGAGTTGACAATTGGATCCTTGCCGGCATTATTGTGCGCCTCGCCTTGCGCATGGGTTACCACCGCGACCCCTGTCGCATCCCGCAAATGTCACCTTTCCAAGCCGAAATGCGTCGGCGAGTCTGGGCAACTATCGTTCACATCGATCTCGTCACCTCTACCCACGTAGGGCTCCCCAGGATGCTTAGTGCGTCCGCTTGTGACACGGCAGAGCCGCGGAATCTCCTGGACAGCGATTTCGATGAGGATGCCGTTGAACTGCCACCTTCCCGTCCGGACTCTGATATGACACCAATCATATACCTCAAGGCCCGAAACAAACTCTTGTCTATACTTGGTATGATCACTGATCTGACCACTTCGACCTCTCCAACCTCATACGGCGACGTTATGGAACTTGATAGAAGGCTACGCAGCACGCATTCGGCCATTCCTGCGGGCCTCCAACTGCGTCCGCTATCGCAGTCAATCATCAGCCACCCGGACATAATTACCCGCAGCATATATCTAGACTTGATGTTCAACAAGGCGCGGTGTATCCTGCACCGCAAGTACTTGATTGTTTCTCGATCAAATATGCAGTATGCGTACTCGCGCGATTCGTGCATTGATGCCGCAAGCCAAATTCTCAAACACCAGGAGGTCCTCTATTGTGAATCACAGCAAGGTGGTCAACTATTCAGCGAGCGGTGGAAAATGACATCCATCTTCAACTACGATTTCTTACTGGCCATCACAATCCTGTGCCTCGACCTTAACCGTGATTTGGAACTGGCTTCAAGTTCAAGTTTGCACGAGATGCCAGCGGAGCAAGGAAGAAGGAAGAACGTAATCCACGCGTTGCAGCGGTCATACAACATTTGGACCCAGACGACAGATTCATCCCGCGAGGCCCGGAACGCCGTTGAAATTCTCAGGGTGGTGCTTGAAAAGGTGAAGAGATCGCCCATTTCGGGCAACGGCAATGATCCATCCGCGAAGGACGCGACACACGTCGAAGGTGCATCCAAACAACACCTCATTGCTTGAAGAAGTGCTGACATGGAATAGGCGCCGGTATCTCCCAACCGTCTCAAACGCCGATAAGCTGGACCACTCAAGCATTAACTTCTTCTCCTGGAGAAAACATGGAAGACTTGGCCAGCACCGCACACTGGAGCACCGATTTTGATTGGGTAGGTGAACCCAGTACCTCGACATTGAAGCACTGACGGACTAATATCATTACAGGACAGCTGGGATGCCGACTTGCGCAGTCAGAATTCAGCACAGCTTTCTAACATGGAGAGAGGCCTCATGATCTTTGATCATGACTTGACAGAATCTGATGCGGCTACCGACCAAGGTGGAACTGCCTTTGAATAAGACAGCTGGGCCCTAGAGCATCAGATCGGTGCGTTCCCTTCATCTTGTACTAAGAATCCACTGCACTGCTTCATTCCTGAAGCACTCTAGCAAAGCTAAGACTTTCAGGGTAGTTTGAACCGACTTGGCTGGCTAACCTTAATAAACGCCTGGACCCTAAAGTTGAAATTATCTGACATGATCGAGGCACCTGGTTGGACACGAAGTTTTGAGAAAAGGGCCAAGGACTAGTGGCAGCGTTCTTGGATCTTTTAAAACTTCGTCGCAGGAGAAAACAAAACGACAGCTTCAGAAATCGCTTAAATTTCCATCGCAGATTTCATTGAAGTGGTACCAATCTATGTCTAAATATCACGCTCCATCCCGAACCCAACGCCGTATCCCAATGTTCGCTATGCACGAAGAGATCAATCAATCATTAAACGAGGGGCTGCCAACTCAGAGTTTCACAGCCCACCTGGTCCTGATATAGCGGCCGTACTTGTAAAACACTATCGGCACCGGCGCAAAGGCGAGAGCCAAGAAGCCCAGCAGGGTGTTCCCCCAGCCCATGCCGAGGGCGGCGTACATCTTGGGGCCAGCGAGCGGCAGGAAGGTGCCGAAGAGCGAGCGGACGATGGTGTTTGCGGCGAGGGCGGACGCCGCGCCCTCGACGTCGAAGGCGTCGACCAGGTAGATCTGCGCCGGCATGACGACGAACAGCGCACCCAGACCGATGAACGAGGTGCCGACGATGGGCACCAGCCAGTGCACGTGCTTGTACGCGCTCCACCCGTACCAGAAGATGCCGATGGGCATGGCCGGCGCGAACCACACCATCAGCGGCAGCCGGTATTCCGGCTGCGGCGCCGCGTCTTCCCCAGTCGCACCGGCAGCTTGGGCGGCGGCCGCCCTGGCTTTCGCCATCCGCCCCAGCACCTTGTCGCTCAGCACCCCGAACAGCACGAGTCCGAACAGCATGCCGATGCCCAGACCGAGGTAGGCGAGGCCGGCGATGCCGGGCGAGAAGCCGTAGCGCTGCTTAAAGACGGAAGGGAAAGTGGTGAAGAGCAGGAAGACGAGGCCGAAGACGAAGGCGCAGAAGAGGGAGAGCGAGAGGACGATGGGCGAGAGCATGAGCAGCTTGGCGGGCCGCACGACGGCGCGCAGGAGCAGTTGTGCGGGTGTCAGGTCCAGCTCCGTCGCCGTCCGCAGCTTCGTGTCGCCCGTCGTTTTGCGCAGGTGCGCGGCTTTGCGCCGGAGGAGGACGCGGCCGTTCGTCTCGCGCATGACGAAGAGGGAGATGAAGGAGATGGTGCCGGACTGTGCGATGGACGGGTTAGTGGTGGTGCGGGGAAGGGAGGAGTAGGGTGTGTCGTACGATCATGGCGAGGAGCCAGAATGCCCAACGCCAGTCCAATTCTTGGGAGAGGAAGCCTCCGATGACAGGTCCGATGACGGGGCCCTGGGAAGTTTGGGTCAGTGGTGAGGACATCATCGAGGCGTGGAGTGTTTGTATGCTTACCAGCAGAGGCCCCATGGCGAAAACAGCCATGGCGGCACCGCGCTTTTCCTGGGGCATGACGTCGGCCACTGTGCCGCCGCCGATGGTCAGGGGAGCGGATCCGGCGCAGCCGGTGATGAAGCGGAAGACGATGAACATGGGCATGTTTTTGGCGAGGGCGCAGCCGATGGCGAAGCCCAGGAAGATGGCGTTGCAGATGTGGTAGATCCACAGCCGCCCGTACAGCTCCGAGAGAGGCGCCACGACCAGCGGGCCGACGACGAAGCCAAGAAGGTAGATGGTCACGGAGAGCTGCGCGACGACCGTGTTAGTCTCCTTGAATTCCGCGAGCATTTGGTCGGCGCCGGGTGCAAACATGGTGCTGCCGAGATTACTGGTGGTATGTCAGTTCGCCGTCGGAGCAACTCAGGGATAGCAGTGCTCACACTATGAGCGTGATCAGACTGACGATCACGACGTGGCCCACGCGTATACCGGTCGACCAGTTGCGCGGGTTAGCGGGATCGTCCGGGCCGTCCCAGTCGACGAAGTGGGAATCATGGGTATCGGGCTCGAACTCTGTGTCGGCACTTGACAGGCGGCGTCCTTCTTTCTCCGTGTCGGCAGTCGATAGTCGTCTCTCGGTGTAGGCCCTTGACAGGCGCCATTCATTCTCGGTGTTGTCGGCACTCGACAGGTACCAAGCTATTACCGCTTCTGCGAACAATCTCGGGTCCTCTTCATTCCATGGCTGTCTCATCCCCCTGCGCTGTATCGGACGTCCTTCTTTCTCGTAGTTAGACATGATGGCAGATGTGTAGTTAATTGTTCTATAGAAGTGTACGTGTGCGAGTGGTGCACTTAAGTATGCCCAGGAATTGCAAGCAAAAATGTCCATTTTCGGAAGCATGGCGGGGTGACTAAGCCGACGCGGCTCCGTCAGGTGCCGCGGACGGTCGGACGGTCGGCGCGGAGGGTCGGACGGTCGTCGTGGCTGTGTGGCACAGGATGTTATCCGCCCCCAAGCCAGCAACGTCATGGTACATCCTACAGCCCAACGTGAAAACGTGCCGAGGTAAGGATTGGTGATGACATCTTTACAACAATCATAACGTCTCGCTCGCTCCCTGCAAGTCGGCCGAGACAGTTGGACTGACACATCAGGCCCGGATGTGGCTGAGGGAAAGTTGTGGGCGAAGTCTTAGATCGTGGGCAGAATGCGGGATAAGGCGTGCACTGCGCAGCTCTCACCAATCAGAACTATTACCCTTCGCCCCCAACGTCCCATTTGGCAATATTAGAAGCATTCTGAGCCTCGGCACAAATGTGTGCTTTGCTAAGAAGGAATTTTGCTCCCCAAGCCGCGGTTGTTGCACAGTAGATCAACGGCGGGACCATCTCGGACGCTCTCTACATCCGGGGATCCGATGGGAGAGCAACTGACGAGTATCCAATGGGCGAAGCTCTGCACTTGGCTCAGTAGTTAGCTGTCGCCCTTATTAAGCTCACCAAGAGCAAGGTCGTGTCCAAGAATACCTAAGAAAGTCTTCTACTACCATCGCTCCGCTCATCGGATGCCGACACTTCGACGATTCTACTCATGCTTGGTACCTACATCTCGCTGGCGCACATGTACAGTTCCATATTTATGCTGACGACTTTTTGTGTTCGAAGAAATGCGTGCAGACGCGTAGTTCGAGAGTACCAGTATCCAATATCGCCCATGAACTTGCATGCGCGACCCGGTCTCCGCTTAGCATTGGCGCTCTCCAGATCACCGACCGGACGCGTCTACACGCGTTCTCCAGGCCACCGTCGACGCGTCTACGCGCAGTCTCCAAATCACCAAGCCGACGCGTCCACACGCGAGCAGATCACGCCTCTCCATATCACCCGTCCAGATCAGGTTTAGCGTCGTTGCCCGGCCAGCTGATGCAGTTGATCGAGGTGATCCAGGCACCACCCCGAAACCTACAAATACCTAGCCTCCTCCTACCTTCTCCCATTCTTTTCTTCTTCAGCTCTCTCTTTGCCTTTTGGCTTGGATCGAGTTTGTAGAAAGGCGAACTGGAGGCGCATGCGACGCAACGATCCACGCCGTGAGGTTTCTCAAAGCAAACTTGAAAAAGAGTTACACTGAGTTTTATCCCTCGGGTGAAGCGATGAGGAAATGTTTCCGAGCTCCCTTCGTTGAACGACTGGACTTGCTCCGGTCTTCGAGGAAGGGGAAGTTTGAATGGCAGGTTAGGCTGCCTTGTTAAAACGCTCAGTCTTTTCACCTCTTGCCGTCATCGGGCTCACTTCACGTCACTTTCGGAACAGGTCTGTACATGAGTGATCCCAGATAACCTGAGCTTATATTCGTCCCCCCATTCTGGTGGCTCGGACCAGAAACACGGCGAACCCCGGTGCAGCACTTCCGTTGGGATAGTTTCCTTGATGGCGCGACTGAGCAGCCAGTAGCTACAAGCAAAGATAAGGATATGCCCATAGCCATACGCTAGAGATGTGTACCGGTCGGAATGCACTTTGCGCCATTGGCCCAGAAATACTAGAGAGCAAGGCTGATTCTAACGAAAACACCCAAGAAGATCTGCCTTGTCGCTCGGCTCTTCGGATGTTGACACCCCGACGGACCTGCCCATGCTCCGCCGCCACGTCTCGCTGGTGTGCATGTGCAGTTCTCTCTTCGAGGATATCCGCGACTACCTCGTCTGCCAGCAACCGAGCAGCAAGGCTGGTGCGCCGTCATCCGGAAGTAGTCCGAGGAACGATTCCGCCCAAGGCTGCTGCTTGGCGAACTGCCGCCACCGTCGTTCATCGAGTCGCACGCTTGGGTGTACGCGGTCGAGATGACGTTGCCGGACGCGTTATGCTGCAGCGAGAATTTCCTGATCATTTTCCCTGACGAGGTTGTCACGAAAGGCGGGGATATGTGAGTGGTGTCACGTGCTGCGTCTTGCTGGGATTGTGAGTGGAGTGCGTGATTGGCAGTGCAGTCAGGGTGCTTGTTAGTTGTGTGAAGCCAGCTTTTCCTCAATACTCTGATTCATAAATCTGTGGTCATCTGACATCTACTTTACCTGTATAAAAGCTTCTAGTATTGTAAAAGGCGGCAAATCGTTGTACAAGCTAATTAGCGCTTGCACGTGCTAAGCATCTAAATCACCCTTATTTTTCTTATAATTTAAAGCGCCCATGTTAACACGACATGTTAAGCTAGGTTTTATATCTACTGCGATGTTTCGTAATCTGTGTCTTAGTCTTGTATCACCAATAAAAAGAGTACAATACATATATCTACCGAATCGATCTGACTGTCGTCCGTAGCCGCAAAACCCAGTTGAACATGCCAAATAATCATAATATCATATGGAAGCGCATCCTTTGAAATTGCATTTACGGGCAACTAAAGAGCACCTCGCGGGCTCTACAATTTCTCGTAGAAGGAAGTCTCGAGAATGACGCACACTTGATACCCTCCGTTAAGATTTACGCCATCGAAGAAATGCGCGCAAATGCGTAATTCGAGTGTGCCAAGCACCAATAATTGTCCATGAACCTGCATGTTTATCTTAGTGCTCACCCCAACGAGACCTTACCAATTAGTATTCAGCTGTGGAGAATAAGCCCAAGCATATAATTGGAGCTGGATAGGAGAGGCTCAGCCTTGCACGCCTGCAAATTGCCGCAACTGACTATAATAATGGAATGCTCGCTGCCTTCTCCCTTCGTTTTGACTGAATCTTTCTATCGCGCCTTTGAGACACCCCTGTGTCAAAGTCGCATCAAGCAATTCGTGTCTCCCTTTATCTTTGATGCTGCGAAAGCAGCAAGAGACACCTGACAATCAGTTCAATTCTCTAGCCATGGCTTTTTCGCATCGCTTTCTTGACGATGTAGATGCTTCTCTTAGTGCTGTGTCTGAGCAGCCAGTCGACGGACTCGAAGATGACACTGTGCGATTTCATCCTTTCATACCTCACACGCTACTTACACCACCATCTTCGGCAGGACCATCGAGAAGATCATCGTATAAGTCAGCTCTCTTGGATCAAAAGCCGCCACGACGAGAATCAGCATCAGTAGAAATGCCACTACTAATCAAGCTACAAAGGCGAAATATACGCGCTTCCACCCCACTCAGCCCCAGAGATGTCTCAGAAGGCTGTGTTGAAGAAACAGCCATGGAGATTGCTACTACCGGGTCTCCTGCCCAGAGTCACCACGGGGAACTCCAGCGGAAGGAAGCCCAAGAGGCAAGCAGGCTAGCACCTCCATCGATTTCATCCACCGGAAACCAGGAGGCCGTTACCAAGTCGGATTATGCAACGTCTAGTGAGAGAGCCCGTTTAGTCTATGAGATTTAAGTTGAGGTTCTAATGGTTCCAGCTATTTTCGCGTCAACCATTATTCGAAAAGTCCTTCGAGACTTCCGAGAAAGGACATTAGAGAACGCTGAGAAGTTTGCTGAGGAGGTCCTGTCCAACGGTTACAGTTCAAGCTCAACAGATGAGGATCGCAGCGACAGTGGTGACAGCGCAGAGGGAGATGATGAATTGGAGGATACTGCAGCTGACAATGTTCGACCTCAGTCTCCTGAAAGTGGCCCTGGATTATCTCCTATGAACTTCGAAGAGACTAGAGGTCAGATCCAGCCCACTTTGCAGCGAATATTTAACACGCACAGTCCAGCCTGTGGGTCAGACTCCTCGAGCTCAACGTCTAGGGCAAACGAGACGGTCGGGAAAGCTGCCCCTTCGGTCGCACTTCCACATGGAGGCAAGCGTAAAAGGAACATAACCTCTTCAACTTCTAATGGAGGGGACGAGGAGAATGACGATGAAGATGACCGACCCGTTAGGAAGAGGCCCGATCAATCATTGGAAATACCCGAGGTGACTTGTGGAAAGAAGTTCGCATGTCCATTTTTCAAACGACGGCCGGTCCGAAGCCCAAAAGCGAGAGCATGCGTATACCCCGGATTTTCAAATATTGCCAGGATGAAGTAAGTAGTCAGCGCATATGGTGATGCGTGAGCTAATTGACTGACAAGGGAACACCTTTACCGACATCATTTATGTATTGTTTGCCCGCGGTGCGATGAAGCCTTCAAAGACAGTGATGCGCTTTACGAGCACCAGAACTCAAAGGTCGCCTGCGAGCTCGTAGAAGAAAAGGCAGAGAGGGAAGGAATCACTCTTGCGCAAGAAAAACAACTCAAATGCAAGAAAAGGAGAAAAGGAGAGCACACAGAAGAGAAAAAGTGGGAAGGTGTCTATCGGATTCTGTTTCCGACTGATACCACGATCCCTTCGCCTTATTGCGAGGCTACTTCAACAACTCAAATGTCTCCAAGCACAGCCATCTTCGCCGACTTTGAAGAATTCAGTAGTAGGCAGCTCCGCACTCTCGTCATGGAAGGAATTGAAGCCGAGGTGAGGAGGCAGGAAGTGGTACTGGAAGCAGCCCTGATGGACAGGATTGAAGATATCGTCCGCAGCGCAAATCAGCAGCTCTTCCAGCAATGGCGTGAGCACCAGAGTCTCACTCAGCTTGAGCCGGGACCAAGCAGCAATGCTGCTCTTGGGCCTACAGATGTAGAGGGCCCCCTCACCGAGCCAGCTGCAGAGCTTGCAGCCATGGTGGTCCCACCTCCTGAGATGGACTTCGACCAACTACTGTCTAACGACTTCACACATCCAGCCACTTCCATTGACCCAGCTCATTCAGCCGTCCCGAGCTATGCAGATTCTACGTACGGTTCATCACAGACGAGTGACAAAGCGGTTACAAATAGTAGAGCAGCAGCGGGCCCGGCTCATCATCCCCAACCTCAGACGCAGCCACTTCATGCGGAGCCGTTTCCGGCACAGTCTACCTACAATGGGAGGTGGGATGCTGTGACCGCTTTGCACAACATCGATCCCGGAAGCCTGCCCGATTCCGTACTAACTTCCTCCTTTACCGGTCCGACTTTCTGGGAAGATTCACAAGATTTTCCAGACTCAATCCCTCAGACTTCACCGACTACCGTGGCGGGGACTCTTCCTTCAAGCTCGCAGTGGGACAAAGATGGGATGCATCAAGAAGGTGGTGGGATTGCAGCGCTATTCGAGTATTGGGCCATTAGATAGGGATGGAGGATAATTTTGTGGAAATTAGTGGGCATCTTCTGCCAGGGCCAGGATAGATCTGACAAGGAGTTTGGCTTTTGCGAAGGTTTCCGACTATGGACATGGTGTACGGTTCAAATTCGTAGTTGAGCTTTTTGGTTGAATATATTTGTACCAACTCAACTCTTGCCTCAGTCCGTATTTCGCTATACTTACCCACATACAGAGCATTCATTCACAGGCATTACAAGAGAAAGCCATATGCATATACCAAAACATGATATTTACGTTCAGTAATACGTAATACTATTTTTTCTTTCCATATATATCAACAAAGAAACGCAGCAGCAGTCGCAGCAACGCAATGCAACACAAAAAAGTTAAACAACCCAACTATATCTACAAAGAAGCTTTCATCATCTCCACACTTCATCATCCCCAACAACCGTGTCTCAAGAAGAGAGAGAAGAAAAAAGAACACGTCTCATATACTCATCTCATTTTACTTCCTCAACGCACCCTTAACAACGCTCTCAAACACAAACGTAAACCACTCCAACACATCCTTGATGCGGGTGCCCTCAGGCAGCGCGTGGTCGGCACCAGCCAGACCCGTCGGCTGGGGAATAACCTGAGTCAGGGCAGCGCTGGGGATGATGTTGGTCCAGTTGCTGGCGATGCCGCTAGCAATGATCGTCGGCAGGGCCGGCGAAGCATCAGCGGAGCTGGCAACCGACGCCTCGGCGGCAACGACCTGGGTGGCGAAGGTGGAAGAGGCAGCGGCGGCCGCGACCTGGGTGTAGGTCGAGGTCTGGACGTTGGCGGCGCCGACGTTGTTGTTGCCGTTGTTGTTGGCGACGGCAGCGACGGCGGGGGTGGAGGCGGCCTCGCCAGCGGCGACGGTCACGTAGACGGTCGTCATCTTGGTGTTCTTGACGGTGACGGTCGTGGTGACGGTCGAGGCGCCGGAGCCGGAGCCGGAGCCGGAGCCCGACTCGGGAGCCGGGGTGGTGGCGGCGGCGGCGACGGTGGTCGAGGTGGTGGCGGACTCGGCGACGGCGGACTCGGAGCCGGAGGACTCGGAGCCAGAGGACTCAGAGCCGGAAGAGGAGCCGGTGTTGGAGGAGGCCGAAGAGGCAACGGCGGAGCTCTGGCTGGAAGCCGAGCCGGAGCTGGAGCCAGAGGACGAGCCAGTGGAGATGGTGGTGGTCTGGCCGGCAATCTTCTTGGCGGCGTGCTCGGCGGCGACGTAGACGATGGCCTGGGTGTTGCCGGTGGGGAGGTCGGGGTGGATCGAGGCGTCGACGACGTACAGGTTGTCGGTGCCGTAGACCTTGCAGTCGGTGTCGACGACCGAGGTGCCGTCGTTCTCGAGACCAGAGTCAGTACCCATCTTGGCAGTACCGACGAAGTGCGAGCCGGTGGTGAGCTTGGCGATCAGGTCGGCCGCGGTGACGTTGCCGCCGGTGGTCGAGGTGACGCTGAGGGTGCCAGACTTCTGGACGTAGCCGAAGAACTCGTTCAGGAAAGAGGTGATGGCCTCCTTGTCGGCATCGGTGTTGAGCCAAGGCTGGGTCATGAGGGTGGTGGCGCCAGACGCATCAATGCCGAGACGACCAGTCGAAGTGAGACCGTGGGTGAGGTAGACCTTGACCTTGATGGCGTTGGAGCTGGAGACCGAGGTGGTACCCTGGACGTAGCGGGTCTTGCCGTCGGAGCCCTCGACGCTGGTCCAGAAGTTCAGGCGCTGCATACCCTCGGCAAGGGGACCAGAGCCCTGCTTGTAGAGAGCAATGTCGTTCTCCGAGGGGTTGGTGGGGTCGAAGACGGTCATGTTGCCACCAGCGACGTTGACGGTCATGGAGAGAATGGGGTGGTCCTTGAGACCCTTGCCGACGGGGAGCTCGATGTAGTCGGAAGAGTCAAGCTCGATGCCGTTGTTGGCGTTGGCGACGATCTCGAGCTGGTCAGCCGGGCCGATACCAGAGTTGAACAGGATGCGGGGAGTGGACAGAGCACCGGCAGCAAGGACGACCTTGCCGTTGCTGGTCAGGTTGATGATCTGGGTGGCGCCCGAGTCGGTCTGGACCTCAACACCGGTGATGGCAGAGCCGGAGCGGATGACGCGGACAACCTTGGAGTTGAGCTGGAGGTTGAAGTTGTCAAGCTCCTGGGCGGCGGGCAGGTAGGTCAGGACCGGACCAGCACGGAGAGAATCCTTGACGTTCCACGGAGGGTGCGAGAAGACCTTCTCCTTCTTGTTGGGCTCCTCGATGGCGTCAACCTCGCTCCAGCCGTTGGCAGTGAAGAGCTTGGACAGAGTCTCGTAGACGCCCTGGTTGTAGCGGCGGCCATCCTTGGAAGGCAGAGTAGTACCGGGGTTGCGCTCGTAGAAGGCCTGAGCAGACGACTCAACGTCGGCCCACGACCATCCTTCGGGCCAGTTCTCGAAGTCAGCCTCCTGGGGCTTGACGAACATCTCGGCGTTGATCGAAGAAGAACCACCGAGAATGCAGCCAGCCTGCGAGGCAGTGTCCGTGCAGTAGGAGACATCGCCGGTCTGGTCAACGGCGTAGCCGTAGGCGGGAACATCGTAGGGAGTAACAGTGTTGTTCCAGTCGAGGGTGTCGGTACCACCGCTGGACTTGGTCGAGGCGCCACCGCGCTCGATCAGGAGAACCGACTTCTTGGTCTCGGCGAGACGGCCGGCGGCAACGAGACCGGCGGCACCACCACCGACGACGATGTAGTCGTAGGTGACGTTGAGGGTGGTGGGGGTCGACAGCGGGGTCGAGACAGGCGTGGTAGCAGAGCCAGGGGTGGTGGTCGAGTTGGAGCCAGTCGTGGTGCTGGAGCCGCCCGAGGTGGCGGTGGCGAGCTTGGCCCAGGTCTCGAATTCGGCAGACTCAGCGTCGGCAATGGGCATGCCGAAGGCACCGAAACCGGCAGCGTGGTAGTTCAGGACGCTGTCGGCGCTGCCGGGGGTCGTGGGGGCCGTCTTGGAGAAAGCCCAGCCCAGAACGGCCGTGGTGGTGGTAACATCGAAAGCACCAGAGTCACCCGTAACGCAACCCTTACACAGGAAAGTGTACGAGTAGTGGGTGGAGTTGACGAAAGTACCCTCGGGGATGGTGGTGAGGGTGACGTCGGCCATGGCGGCGGGGTTGGAGTAGGCGTTGGTCTTGCGGGCAGAGGCGACGATGTCGTCTCCGTTGGGCCAAGCAGCAATCAGCGTCGAGGCCATCATGGACGAGGTCATGGAAACACCAGCCCAACCGGCGCCGGGAGAGACGATCTGGCCGATGATGTCGGTCGTGGCCTCGGGGTTCTCGGGGAGAGCGACACCGAAGGCGAAGCCGGTGCTGGCGTCCTGCCAGCGCTGGAAGGTGATGCCGGTGGTCTCATCGGTGTAGGCGCTGGTGGTGGTGGCGGCGCGGGCAACGCTCGCCAGGGCGGCGGCGGCGGCAATGGTGGTACGCATAATGGTTGTTGTTTTTGGAAGTGAGTGTAAGGACTGTATAGTCAGAGAAAGTAGTTCAAAGACGGGTCAATGGCACCTGGCCAAAAGGATAGAATAGCTCGAGGCGAATGATTGGAGCCGTCGAGGCTGGAAAAGAATGACTTGTGAAAAAAAAGAGAAAGGAATGCGTTGCTGGACTTGCAGCTTTGCGTGAGGAGAGAAGGGAAAGAGCAGCACCGGGGGAGCGCTTGGCAGGTCTATATACACACAGCGGGCTCGAATGGGGAGCGCATGATTTTTCAGCCACGGGGCAGTTCGCGCTCCACCGCCGGCACCGTCATCTCGCTGCGTGAAACGAAACTCGACTGTCGGCACTTGGTTACCAGTCTGGCGAAGGGCCCGGGCCCGGATTGTTCCAGACGGACGCTCTCGAGGCCTGGCGGGTTGGAGCCGAATCAGCATCGGCAATCCGTGGCCGTGCATTGGCCGGATAGCCGACGGGACCGGGGTGTGTGTTTCGCATATAGAAACGCCGCTGATGTTTCTGTTGGAAGCGAAGGGGCGTGGTGAAACGGCACGGACGCGATAGATGAAGAAGGCGGGCCTGAGCGTCGCTAACCACAGCAACCTGCCAACCGCAACCGACCTATTTCCACGCCGCCGTCAGCCCGCATGAACGAACGCGCAATTTCAGCTCCGATCTCAAAGCTTGGTATGCCGAGTTTCCCTCTGCGCGGGAACCGCTCCGCGCTGCTGTCGACGCGCGCGCCTGCCTGCTAACGGCCGTGAACGGACCCACAACGGGGTTCGCTCAAACGCCACGGCGCAACAAACGGCCAGCAGATGCTCCTTATACAAGCCCAGCCGGCATTAACCCCGATCCACATGTGGAGAAGCTGGAATTTCGAGAACGATAATAATATACTGCGCGGAGTCTATCTCGGCTTTTCGCCCCAGGTACCTGTCCAAACTACCAACTCTCCTATCTCCGAGCACGACGCCTCACTCTCACCGCAACACTCCCCCCTTTCCTACTATCTCGCCTTGGGCTCCTCGTGCTTGTGGTGGCAGCCCGTCGCCTTCGCCTTGGGAATCAGCGGGTTGCGGCGGACGAGGCGCTTGGTGCGCGGCGGCAGCGTGTCGAACGAGTCGGCGTAGGTCGCGACGGCGTGGGCGATGGCGCGCGTGTTGACCAGGAAGGCCTCGAGGTTCAGGTTGTCGACCGTGTCGCCGACGCGGTGGTAGTTCTCGTCGTAGGCCACGCCAGCCGTGCCGCCGTACAGCGCCGCCTCCTCCTCCGTCTTGATCTGCTCCGCGCCGGTGAACAGCCCGCCGGCCGCCACGCCGACGTCCAGGAACGGCCCGTAGTCGGAGCGCCCGCTGAACTCGGTCGGCTGCGACGGCAGGTCCTTGCTCGCAAAGTAGCCCTCGAACAGCGCCTCCGCCTCCGCCGATCCCGCCGGGCCCGACAGGTTGAAGGCCGATCCGTCGCCGTCGTAGATGCCCAGGAAGTAGTTGGGCGACGCGATCATGTCGAAGTTGAGGTACAGCCGGATCTTATCCAGGTCCTCGGGCGTCGACTGGTTCACGTAATACTCGGCCCCCAGCAGACCGAACTCCTCGGCCGACCACCACGCGAAGCGCACCGCGTTGTTGACCTCGTACTTGGCCAGCTGCAGGGCAACCTCGAGGATTCCGATGGAACCGGACCCGTTGTCGTTAATGCCAGGGCCCGCCTCAACCGAGTCGGAGTGCGCGCCGACGAAGATGACGTTGTCAGGGTCGCCCGACTTGGTCTGCGCAATGACGTTCATCCTGCATGGCGCGTCAGCAAGAAGGATTTTTTGGTGCGGCTCCAATTCTGCAGCAACTCACGTGACGCGATCCTCGATGATGGAGTTGACGTTGAGATCGCCAATCACCTCGCCCGCCTCGAGCAGCGCCAGAATGGCACGACCAGCGGTAAGGGAGATGGCCGCCGTGGGCGGGTAGGCGCCCTCGGTGCGGTTGGGGGCACCGAGCGTACCGCTCAACGAGCCGTTGACGTTGTTGTAGATAACGGCTCCCGCAGCCCCTGCGGCGCCGGCGTATGCGGCCTTCAGACCGAATTCGCAAGTGCCGCGGGAGATCAGCGCGATGGCGCCTTCGACTTCTGCAGGGAAGTCGGACTGTTAATTTTGCCGTCAGCTAATCGCGTTGCAGAACCAGGAGCCAAACACTTTTCGTACCGGCTCGCAGCCCTGGTTCGACACAGCAACCACCGGCGCTTCGACCTGCCCGTTGGGTGCGTACGTCATCAGCGCGGCGTCCTGATCCTCGCCATTGACGCTGAAGGTGGCGTCGCCGCCCGAGAAGGTCTCGACGAAGGGCTGGTACTCGATGTCGTAGTACTCGCTCAGCTCCGAGACGAGCTCGTACAGGTAGAGGGCGGTGAAGTTGTGGCCGGGGCTGCCGAAGACGCGGTTGCGGCCCGTCGTCTGGTAGGCAATGGCCTGCAGGTTCTCGGCGTGGTCGAGCAGAGCGGCAGAGTCGATGTCGTTTTGGAGAGCATCCTGTACGCCGATCCTTTAGCACCGTGTTTCAAACCTGACGCACACTTCAAACAAACACGCACCGACGTGACCAGAGTCTTCGCCTCGGGAACGGCTTCCACCGTGATCTCGTTGGGCTTCTCCGGAGCAGCTCCCCAGTTCTCAACGTCGGGCTGCCAGTCCTTGGGGAAGACTTGGGGTCCGCGGCGCTGCAGCAGGGATGCTGGACGGACAGCGTGCACGTGACCGGTGGGCGTTGAGGCCTCGCCAACGACAGCGAGCGCAGCCAAGGCGGCGCTGGACTCGAGGAAACGCATGGTAGACAGGGATTAGGAATGCGTAGGTGGGTGGGGTCTGCGCAATGTCGTCCAACATGGTGCTCAGAGTGCTGGGACCCTATATATACTCGGCCAGCGATGGGTTAGATTGAGCAGAAAGGCAACCAGACAGTTGACATGGTTCCACCGTTTCGCTTGGCGAGGAAAACTCCTGCGCTCGTAGCGGCTGTGCCTGACGACAGGATGGGATGCATTGGCGTATGAGGGAGTTGCGCATCGGTTGCCTTCCCGAAACAGGCAGGCCGTTGAGGACCATTGTTGGTTGCGCCCAGCGGAGAGAAGGCACCCAAGACAGACGGCGGCCTTGGCGCGCCTCTCGGCGGAGAGGAGGCGAGGGGCGGAGGGCAGAAGTGGGAAGGAGATAAGAGACGCCCGCCAAGCGGCCAAGGCAGTGGCGCCGACGAGAAAGGCAGATACAAACGCGGAGGCCGCCTGATATCGGTGGAATTCGACGACCTCCGCTTGCCTTTGGCTCCGCATTTTCACGGCTTTGCGAGCTCCTCATCATTGAAAACGAGGTGGCGTACTCTGGCGTGCGCTCTTCGGAGGATTGCGCAGAGAGATATTGCTTTTCTCGTCCCACGGCAGAAGCGGCACCGCATCGCCTACCTGTCCGACTCCGGTCCTCATTCGCTGCGACCCCTCAGCGCCGACGCGCCTCCGGCCCGCACGATACGGATAGCCACAGGGTCCATGGCTTGGAAACATGGTCGCACCGCTTTGCCTCGCGAAGCAAGGTGCACGCCTCAGAACCATCGCTTTTCGCCATACAGCCATGTGCTGGCCATTTTGACCGCTCATCTGCCGCGCGCAGCTTGAAGCGCCCAGCAGGATTCGTGGTGGGTGATGAAACGCGTCAGAGGGGTCAATGACGCGGCGTAAGCTCAAGGTTTGGGCCTCGAGTTGATTGAGGTGAGCGGGAAGTATTGCCTTTTCCTCATTCTCATGTTCCCATCGAGATGTGCTCCTGACCCGGAAAGCCGTGAGCTCAGCAGGTCAATCTCTTCGCGTGGACGAGGGTTGCGGGGTAGAAGCTCAGAGGAGGAAGAGCAGCGCGCGTCACGCACACGCGACACCCCCGGTCGATGACGCAAACGCTCGCCACCAGCTGCTTCACGCCTTTCGCAAATCTCCGTTCAGTCCGTAGACATCACGACCGCAACAAACACCAGTGAAGGGTGATAAGGTATGGCTTGAATACTGGTAGGATCTCCTCGTAGGCATCATCACTGGCATGGTTCTCAAGATTTAGGAGAGAAGATTTTTAGCATTGAGAAAGGAAAGGAGCGGCTCAAGGAACATGTTCGTCCATATCTGAGCATCGACGATTTTTCTCGAATTAATACTTTTATGAGTACTAACTGTACACATCTTCCATCAATGTGCGACAATGCCCTGATTTCGCCACCACCAATCAGAACTGCATGCTGATGTAATCTTGTGGCCCCCATCAGCCGGCGGGGTCAGCCAAGGACACCTCGCCAGCCTTGTAGATATTCTTGACGCTCCATCTCTTTCTCGTACCAGCCTTGATACCGCAATACAGTCATGACGGACTTCGCAGGAGTCATCATCGGCGTGCCTGGATTGATTAACGATATACTTGACCTTCGCGACCGCTGGGAGATGGTCATAGACCACGAACTAGAGTCGAGGAAAGCGCTGATCATCCTTCGCCGCAGCTTGCTTCGCCTTCAAACTTGGATCGCATATTCCGGTTTCAACGGAGAACATTTGGAAAAGAAGCACCATCCTCGCTTTAAGGACCCAGGCTATCTCGAAAATGCCAAGAGCTACTTCAGTATTATCAAAGACATTTGCAAATGGCTCAGAGAAAAGTTCAGGAAGGTCAGGCCTGATATGGCCGAGCAAGGCCAAACAACTCTAAAGATTCCAGCACTCGGCCAAAACTCGAAGCGACCACGCTCGCCCCTTCGATCTCGAGTCAGTGATTTCCAAGAGGGAATCCGCTGGTCCGTCCATGGCCAACGGTTCTCAGAGCAAGTGAAAGAGCTGAACGAGATGGTCGACCATCTGTACGAGGATTTCCCGGAGTCTGTAATGAACCCAGTCTCGCTCATATATGGGACCATTGGCGCAGGGGGTGAGATGAGGTCCTCCCGATTCCTGCGCATTCGGCTGACAGTCTGGTGTAGATAAACACCTTGGCGCAGCAACGCAGGGAACGAAACCTGGAGAATCAAATGTCCCAGTCTATGTGCAACTGGAACAGATTGACGAATGGTTGGACATTCCGAACACAGCCAAAGAATACAGCCGCCGTAAATCTCTGCTGATTCCGGGAACCTGTGACTGGATATTCGATCGAGATGCGTACAGATTGTGGCGATCTCAGGCTGCCTCAGGTCACTTTGGGCGCATTCTTTGGATTCATGGACGGCCCGGTTATGGGAAATCAATCCTTTGCGCAAGGATTGTGCAACTAATGGTTGAGAATATGAGCGAAGAACAACCTGTCGCACATGCATTTTGCTCCACCTTGGCTGAATCGCAAAATAATCCAAACATCATCCCTCGTGTCTGGCTTTCCCAGATTGTCCGGCAAAATTCTTCTGCGAGGGATGTTGCATTCAAAGAGATCAAGTCAACCACCTCGACAGAGGCAACAAGCAGAGATGCCCTAAGGTTGCTTCGATCGATCCTCTCCGCCGTGTCAAGCTGCACACTTGTTCTGGATGGATTCGACGAATTCAAAGAGAAAGGAGAGCGTGCAGCCTTCCTCCAGGACTTTCGGAATGCAATCTCCTGGACAGGCACAAGAGTTCTGATCGTCAGTAGAAACGACATCCGTGGCGAGATTTTTTCTTCTCTCAAACAACATGCCGGCCCTGATTTCGTTGATTACCGAATCGAGAAATATGATGTTGAAAGCGATGCCACAGCCTTCGCCCAAAAGATTGTTCATGAAAGTTTACCGAAAAGAGCGGAAGAACTGAACCTCGAACTAGCTAATCAGCTTGCCAAATCCGCCGAGGGATCCTTTCTGTGGATAAAGCTCCAAGCGCATCGCCTTCAGGTGAACAGTCACCTACAGGACATGAGCACAGATGATATGCTAGGTCCTGGAAATTTATCCAACTCTTTCGATGAGAGTTGGAAACGTATCCAAAGCCTGCCGGATCATGAAAGAGAGATTTCTTTGGCCATAATTCGCTGGGCAGTGTTTGGCTTCAGGCCACTGACTGTCTCCGAAGTCATCTATGCCCTTCAGATTGAATTTAAAGAGAGATATTCCGTCAGCAGCGAACTATGGTTCCAAAGCGATAACCTCGAGAAAGAGTTCAAGCGCTTGTGCGAACCACTTCTGGAATTGCGAGAACCAGATGACACTACCTCTCTTCACTCTGCGACCATCCATGTCGTTCACACGTCTGTACGGGACTATATCGTTTCGCCAAGCTTTCAGCACAAAGCGACTCTTCCAGTCCAGGTACAGATCTCGGATGTATCTGCACAGCATCTCCATCTTGCGCGCATTTGCGTCAGAACCATCGACAACGAATCTGCTTGGTCCGGACTCTGTCCAGACTTATTAGATTACTCCGCCAGATTCTGGCCCCTCCATATCTCCAAAATCGATGATTTACATAATCACCACATGGACGACGTTAGCGAATTCTTTAGCGGCAAATGCTTCAGTCACTGGGCAAGATTTTTTGAGGAGAAAATAATGCCCAGACCTGATGGCGACGAAGAAAATGTCATCAAGCCCGAGCTCTCTACTCCTTTATACTACGCAGCTCTCTTCAACCTCGCCCACCATTCTTTCATATCCGACGAACATGTTCAATCATCTTTGAACAGTATAGGTGGATTTAATGGTACTCCTCTGCAGGCATGCTGCATCGAAGGCAACGACGAGGCCTTCCATGCCCTTCTATCTTGGGGGGCGGATGTTAATGTCGGTGGTGGTGTATTTAACAACCCTCTAATCGCCGCTGCCCATTTCGGTCATCATGAGATGGTTAAACAACTCCTCGACAATGGAGCAGATATTATCGCAAGCTATCCCTCCAGTATAGAGCCAACGGCCTTATATTCTGGCGTGATCAGTGGAAATATTGAACTGGCTGAAGAACTCGTCAAGCGTGGTGCAGGTGTGACACACTCTGTCCGCAATCGTGATGGATGTACTGCTCTCAATGTGGCAGCAACACATGCCAAGAAAGAGATGATACCGTTGCTGTTGAGCATAGGTGCAGATCCATTGGTTTCTGATAATGCTGGCAACACTCCTTTCCAAAGTGCCGCCGTGATGGGCCACCTGGAGATTTGTCAAATGCTATTACAGGTTACCAACGAGAGCTTAGAGGCGCGCGACTCCTGTGGGGCGACGCCTTTAGCTAGTGCTGCATTCAACGGCCATTTCAATGTTGCAGTTTTTCTGATTGATCGGGGTGCAGATGTGAATGGCCCCAACGACCAATACTTCACGCCGTTGCACATGGCTATACAAAACGGACATCAAAAAGTTGTGTGTCTACTTCTGGAAAACGGCGCCAGTCCTTTTGCCCGAAACCATGAGGGAATCACCGCTTTGCACTTCGCTGCACAATATGGATGGGTAGATATTGTCTCTGATCTCTTCAAGCATGGTGCAAACATTGAGAGCAGGGAAAACCTGGGGCGCACAGCGCTTTTCATGGCCACGTTGGCCAGTCGTATTGAAGTGGTTCAACTACTCTTAAAGCAAGGTGCTAGTCCTTCTGCTTGCAGAGATAACGGATGGGCCCCTATTCATGTGGCATCCATGAAAGATACTGCGGATTTTTTGAACCTTCTGCTCGATGCAGGCGCAGACTGCAACTCTCGAGATGATCAAGGACTGACTCCACTCCATGTTGCAGTCATCAATGGCCGTTATGAATTAGCGCTCATTCTCTTAGACAGAGGGGCAGAGTGTGACACATATAACTCCGGTTTATGGTCGCCTCTTGGTTATGCAGTGCATCGGGACGGCGCTGACATAGCGGCTCTACTTTTGGAACGTGGGGCGGACCCATTATTCGTGACGGACGAAGGGCAGTCTCTTGTGCATTTGGCTGCTCAGTATGGATCAGTCACAGCGCTTGACCTTCTCCTACGTCATAATCATTCATGCAAGAAAGTCGATATCAACTTGCAAAACCCTCACGGAACCACGGCCCTGGTTATTGCGGTTGAAGAAGACCAACATGCCATGTTTTCTTGGCTACTTTCGCATGGAGCCAAACCCGACATAGCAGATCAAAACGGGGTAACTGCGCTTCCTGCTGCAGCACACAGAGGGAAGCTTGATGCCGTTCGAGACCTTTTAGAACACGGCGTCAACATTGAAGAGAAAGACCGATGGCGTATGACAGCCCTGCATCTGGCTGTTTTTGGGGGCCATATTGCAATTGTCGAGCACTTGCTCAAAGCAGGCGCAGACACTCAGGCAGTCACCCACAGGGATCTGACTCCACTGCACCTGGCAGCAGAAAAGGGGTTTGTCGAGATGATAGACTTGCTCATCGAATCAGGAGCGAACATCGAAACCGGATCAGGCGAGGATGGATTGACGGCACTCGACCACGCTGTAGTTAATAATTGCGTGGATTCTGTAAGATGTCTGTTGCGACATGGGGCGCAAGGGATTGGCACACTCCACGGAGACAACATCACAATCCTACACCTTGCGGCGTACCACTCGGACAATCTAGAGCTTTTTCGAATCCTTGCCGAAGCCTCTCCAAACGTAAATGTTCCCGGAAAGTCCCTCGGCGATACCCCTTTGCATGCAGTGGTTTTCAAAGCTTCAATACCCCGGGCAAAGATTCTTTTGGACAAAGGCGCAGATCCCTCCAAGCCAGACAATCATGGAGATACACCGCTACATCTTGCAGTGCGAGCTGGAGAAGTTCAAATGGTGGAGCTTCTGATCAAACGAGGATCGTTTCATGAAGCAGTGAATGAAGTGGGCGCAAGTCCACTGTATGTGGCTGCTCGTGAGGGCCATCACGAAGTTGTCAAGCTCCTCCTGGAAAGGGGAGCCGACGTCTCCTCTCCACGAGAAGGAGGGTGGCTGCCCATTCACGCCGCGGCCGTCGCTGGAGATGTTGCCTCTACGCGGATGCTCATCAACTATGGAGCTGACTTCCAGGCTTCCAACGATGCTGGCGCGACTCCATTGCTCGCTGCTATTGAATATGAGAAACATGATGTGGCGGAATACCTCCTTAAGAGAGGTGCGGATCTGCACGCGAAGAACGACGCGGGGGAAACACCTCTCTATCTCGCGGCTGAAAAGGGCGACGAAGATCTTGTCAACAAGCTGTTGAAGCGCGAAGTAGACGGAATGGTGAAGACGCAAATCCACAGGACCACACTATTTGATGCTGCTAAATTGGGACACGACTCTTTCATTGATCGCTTGCTTCAGCTTGAGCTCGACGTGTCGCCATTGATTGGTCACACCGCATGGATGCCATCGTTGAACCTCGCTGCCTTTACTGGAAATATGCAAGTGCTGCGGCTGATTACAAGGGACCAAAGGGCAGAGTCTTTCTCACCTGACCAGATGGGACGGAACGCCCTCCACCTTGCTGCACGCAGTGGGAGTGTAGAAGCCTTTGACTTCTTGTGTGACCTTGGGTTCGACCTTCTCACGACAGACCATTCTGGCAGATCTGTCTTACATTACGCCTGCCAATCAAAGAGCGTGAAGATGGTTCGGTATATTCTTCAGCTGCCAACTGCCAGAGAATTGCTTTGCTCCAAGCACGAATGGACACCGCTGTTCTGGGCTGCTCGAGTGGGAAACGCCCAGCTGGTCACTGACCTCATGCTCGCGGGTCTTCAAGAAGCCATTGTTTCGACAAGCGAAATTCCCGGCGATTTCAGTCCGTTCTCCCTGGCCGAATATCATGCAAATGACGCTCTTATTTCGGACGAGAATTGCCCGTTGAAGATGAGAGGGAGGAACGACACAGTATGGGAGACCCGAGGAACGTCCAATGGGGATTATGAATGCGATTCCTGTTTCCTGGTGAGTCCCGGTACCTACGCTACCTTATCATACTCCCGCTAACGGCGCAGACAATACATGGCCCGCGTTTCCGGTGCCAGACTTGTCCTGATTTCGACTATTGCTTCATGTGTAAGCCCTCGTTCGAGCGGTTCCATGTCGACCACGAATGGAAACGCATAGACGCAGACGTGGCGGGACCCTGATGTTGTACTTCAGTCCTTCGACGGCATGAAGGAGCTGCTGAAAGCGAGGGGCGTGCTGCGGTTGTATAGGTGCGGAACGGGAGGTGCGAGCGGAGGTCGAGGCGCGAGCACGGAGTTGAGGATTTCTCGTCTGCGATACGGTACGTCTGGGCGAATCGTAGGGGTTGCATTGAGCGTTCATCGATCGATCGGGGATCGCAGATTACTTTGTCCATCGGATGATGATGGAGTCACGCGGCAAGACCTTCGGGGGAGCGAAAAGTGGGAGTATTGTCGCGTTCATTGTTTCCGGGTTGCGGTACTCACTTCGATCTCCACATGGAATCAGTTCACAGAAGTCCGGTACACGCTCCTGAATTTGGAGTTGAAGAGACTGAAGAGAGATGGATTTGGGGATGCGGAGACATGGGCATTTGGGGTATCAAATCACGTGGGATGATAAGCGGTCCATCAGACGCCATTCATGCGGTGTGGTGCAAGACTAGAGAGACGGCTGGTTGTTGGTCCAGTTTTCGGGAGCGGTTCCGCAGTGCTGGTGCCGAAAGCAGTAGGCGCGCGTTGGCGCGGGCCAGCCCACTTTTCGAAGAAGTGCTAGTTCAGGAGTAGTTTTGGGGCGGCAGGGCTCAACTTCTTAAGAAAACACCGAGGTGTGCCCTTCGTTGCTGCAGCCCTCGTCAATATTGATCAGCTTCACTTGAGCCGCAACGGACCATGACTCGACGGCTACCTCATAGTAGCTTCGCAAGAGTTACCTTTGGGGAATGGTGTGTTCGCATGTGATGCGTCTGGGGACGATCCCCTAAGACAGCGGGTCCACATGCGTGGTGGGTGGGTCTGTCAGCGCAGTGTTCAAACCGGACAGCAGCGCGGAGACAGGCGGAGGCAGGGAAACGGGGGAGGCGAACGGCCCAGCGGCTCCAGATTTGCCCTTTTTCGCTTCTCCTATTGCTGTGCCACGTTCAAAGAAAAAAAATCAGCGGCTTGCCTCCCTCGCCTTTGGTTCCGGAGGTTGCGAGACCGTTGGATGCCGTCACCGGCCACGGACGTGATTTTCTCTTCCCTGCGCCACTCCCGCCGCCATGAAGCCATTGCGGCTGAATGCCGCGGCGGGAGCGGCGCTTAATTGGGCGATTAAACATTTAAGCTTGTCGGCGCACGGACGTTGACGTCACTGGTCATCGCTTGACCCGCCTTGTTGCGTCGTTGCCCGCTTGGCACACGCTTGTTGGCCTAGACTATGCTATCGCGCACGCTCCAGTATGAAATCACCACACCCACAATTCGTCCGACCTTCGATGGCCATCTCCCGCACGCCTGGCGCCTGGCCCGCTGCGCCCGCGCAATCACTGGCTGATCCCCGGACTGCATGCCGCATCGCGCTGCTCCGCTCGTTGAGCATGAGGATTTTTGTGGCCCCTGATATCATCGCCTCTCCGCCCAAGGGTCCTGCGGTGTTGACGGAAGGTGGGCCGCGCACCTTGGGGGAGTTATAAGGCTCTCGCTCACTCCCCGCTTGACGGATGCACCTTCTCCGCTGCACCACTTTTCTCTCCAGATATCCGTGAGGGTTGCTTCGCTATGGGTTTCTCAGGCTTCACGCACACCGGCTTCCTCGGTGGGAAGATCGGAGGAAAGGCTCTTCAGACGGGCGTCTGCATCACCGCCGCCTCCGGTTTCCTCCTTTTCGGGTAACCACCAGCCACCCCCCCCCCC